CTTCGATGGTCGCAGCAGGCGCCCCGAGCGCGCTCCGCGGCGCTGGCCTCCCTCGGGGCCTGGGCCTGGGGGGCGCGGCGCGGGCGCCCGCGGGCAGTCGCGCCACCTCCGCGCGGCGAGCCCCCTGTCGTGGGGTCGGAGGATCGCGCCGCCGATGCGTCGCCGATGCAACGCGATTCAACGACGATGCAGCGACGACGTCGGCGACGTCGGCGTCAAGAAAAATGGGTTTCCGCAGCCAAGCCGCATCGGCGATGCATTTGCGATGCGGCGCGGTCCACCGACCCCCTGTGCTCGGAACCCATCTGGGGGGCCTGGAGCCATCTCTTCTAACGATGCCTACACCCAAACCCAACCCAAAACCCCTAAATTTCGGATGGGAAGGGGGGCGTACGGATCTCATTCTTCCCTGGGCACGGAGGGCAACTTGGGGCCTTCGGGTTGGACTGGGGTGGTCTGGTGGGTAGCAGTCTTCTCCGTCCCCCCTCACATTCGGACGTTGCATGGGACGCACAAGGATAATCTAGTACTATTACACGTCCGCCTTGGAGGCGTGCGTCCGACCCGAACATGTAGCACAACCATACTGCAGCGCCTGGTTTCCCCAGTGGTGTGGCCATAACGCGCCCGCCACGACGCATATACTATAAAAGTTCTCGGCGCGCGCGTCGCCATTGGGTGGGGCGACGCACACATAGTATTGACATGTTGGGATGACGCCGATTGCAAATATTCGCGCCCGTCGTTATCGTCCTCACGGATCAATGCATTTTTTATATCAACCCGCGACCCACCCCGCGACCCACCCCGCGACACACCCCGCGACCCACCCCGCGACCCACCCGCGACCCAACCGACTACCCAACAACGATCCACCCCGCGACCCACCCCGCGATTTACCCGCGACCCACCCGCGACCCACCCCGCGACCCACCCGCGACCCACCCTGCGACCAATCCACGACCCTCCCGCGACCCTACCGCGAGCCAATTGCGACCCACCCGCGACCCACCCCGCGTCCCACCCGCGACCCACCCGCGACCCACCCGCGACCCAACAACGACCCACCCGCGACCCACCCGCGACCCACTTGCGACCCATTTGCGACTCATCCGCGAACTACCCACCTTGTTTGAACGAAAACAACGACGCCTGCGTCGGGCTCTTTGTATGATTTGTGAAGCTGTGGCCGTTGCGGCGGGCTTCTTCCGAGTTTCGCAAACTGCCGACGTCCCCGCCGCTTCCTCACTCTGGTCCGCATCTGCGGGGTGCTATGTATATATGTGCAGAGGGGTGGGGTCTGGGGCCCCGGTCGCGAGTGTGAGCGATGTTGCGGCTTCCTTCCACGTCAGATCTGAAGGTCTCCCGAGGGCCTGACGACTCTCTCCGGTCGGCTTGCAGGGGTCGGGCCAAGCAGATCCAAGCGCACCGAAACAGATCCCAACGAGCCGAGGCAGGCCCCGTGAGACCCCCAGGGAATTCTGGAGCAGGCCGTGGAAACTCCGGCGCGAGCCGAAGGACAGCAAGCGTCGAAACATGTGGGGCAGATTGGCCAGACTTGCGATGTCCTGATTTTTCCAGCGCGGGGCCCCGGGAAGTCCCGACCCCCTCCCCAAGACCAGTGTCCCATCCTGGGTCCCTTCTGTCGGTGTGATGAGCTTTTTGACCGCGAGCGGTCGTGCCCCGCAGATGGGGCGCGTCAAAATTCCGCCTTTGCGTCGCGAGGGCTTGCGCAAGGATGCAGCGTCGGGAAGGGAGGCAGGTGGATGCGGCAGCAGTTATCTTCAACGCCTTCTCACGGCCCCCAGGCCTGACCAGGGCCCCAGAGGCCCAGCGCGGCTAGACACCCTCCGCCCTGCTTCTCCCAGCACGTGAGCATGTCTGGGCACGCGCGATCCAGCGCAAAACCAAGCGCAGCCGGAGTCGCCAGACCCTTGACGACCCGCCGTCGCCCTCGCCCTCCACTCGACGCGCAGGCAGCCCTCGGGGCGACATGGACATATAATCCGCCGGCGCCCTCGTAAACGAAAGCAGCGGCGTGGGGAAGTGCTGCCAAGGCCTCGCGAGGAGTGCTCTGGGCCCAGACCTCCAAAATACAAGGAAAAACATCAGAAAGCCAAACTCTTTCGCAGATGTCGTCCTGGGGCCGCGGCGATGTCATTCATCGTTCCTGATCGCCTTGTTCTGAAAGGAGCTTCTGAGGAGCCGCTGCGCCCCTCCTTCGGGGATTGGCCGACCCTGCGATTCCTGCATTCCCGTCGGGCACTCCGCCCCGCGCGAGCGTCGACTCTGGCCCTTGGGGGAGCCGCGGCCGCCCATCAATTTTGCGTTGCCCCCCTTCACCGCCCGAGAGCCCACGGCAGGGCCGCAAATGTCGGCGACTGCTCCCGCGGGGCCGCGCGCCCCTCTCGGTCCGCCGGCGGCCGCCCAGGAGCGGGCGAGTCGCGGGCGGCCTGCCCAGCCGGCCACCGCGCTCGCGACCGCGGGCGCGCCCCGCTTCCCCGCCCACGCCCTCTGCGCTTAGCCGACCCGATGCTCAGAGCGCAACGAGCAGCGCGTTGACGCGGAGCTCAACGCGCAGACGGCAAATGCAAGTCTGGCGCGATGCGTTCGTGGCCGCGCGTGCCAAACCAACGCGCAGCGCATGAGCGCCGACGTTTTGAAGACGGCGCGCGTTGCGTTTCAAAGCGGGCGCGCCAGGGCAGCCAAGCCTCCGGGGCGCCCAGCGCGCTAGCCGCCAGCCAGCCTCCGCCGCGGACTCCGCCCGCAGCTTGGCGCCGCTGGAGGGGGCACCCATCTGCAGGCCTTCTCGCGCAGGGGGGGCCTGCAAGGCCCCCGTACCGTGGAGATAATCGGCCTGGCCCCGGAGAAAGCCTGCCGGCTGCATATTCGCGGTCCTTCGCCTTGGAGGCTGGCGGGCGTTGCGCGTCGCGCAGGTCTATGGATGCCATGATGGCGCTACCGCTGCGGAGGAAACTGAGACGTTGCTCCTGGCAGCGTTGTCGCGGCTCCGCACGATGGGCGACGTGCCGGCGCTGCTTGTGGAGGAATTTAACCTTGCGCTTCATGTGACCAGCGCGGAACCCTTACTAGCGCTGGCCGGCTGGCAGGATGTTTCGGCGAGGGCCGGGCCCGCCTGTGTGCCGAGCTCGGACAAACTACTCGGAATCGACGACGCGCCCGCCAATGGCTCGGCGATGGAACGCGCGGCGCCTGCTGCGTTGCGGTGGGATCCGGGGCCGACGACGCGCGCTGCGCTCGAGGTAATGCCCGCCATCAAAGCGGCAACGCAGCTATCAGATGGCCACTCCTTGCGCTTGCGGGGCCAACTGCAGAAATATGGCCCGACGCCCGCCAGGCCGTGACCCAAGCAGCGCTGCAGGAGCACGCGGCGGAGTTTCGCGCCGGTCTTCTCGACGGTCCCCTGTCTGGCGCCTGGGGGGCGCTGGAGTCTGCCATGCGCCGCTGGATCACCCGGCGCATGGGCCACCTGCGGCCGCGCGAGCGGCAGTGCACCTGCGCGAGGCGGCAAGCGGGTCGCCCCCGAGCCACGGGCGCTGGTGGAGAGGCGTGCGACAGAGCTGCCGATGCTGCGCTGCTCCAGCTGCGGCGGCCGCGCCCCGTGCGACGTGCCGCGAGCCGCGGGCGGGGCCCTCGGGCGCCATCGGTCGGGGGCCGTTGCCTCGGCGCTGCGCGGGGACGAGCTGGGCGGCGGCGTCGCCTGGGCGGTGGGCGCGGAGCGGCTCATCGCGGCGCCGGGCCTGCTTTTTTGTTGTTTCTTTCTTTCTTTCCAGGGGGCCGAGCTCGAGCGTGGGGGGCGCAGCTGGCTGCTCGCGACCGCCGCCGCGGCTCCCAGCGCGAGCGGGCGCAGCAAACGATGGCGAACGGCGGAGGCCCGCTGTGCAAGCTCCGCTACCTGGAGCACCACTGGCGGGCGCCGTGGCAAACGAGCACGCCCGTGGCCCCTCGCCTCGAGCAGCGGCTCGCCGAGCTCGACCACCCACATTTCCGGGAGAGAGAGAGCGCCCAGGACAGCCGACTTGGCCCAAGCGATCCCAAAAGAAACGGCGAAAAACGAGGGGCCTGTCTTGGGCGGCTGGGCAATTGCCGAGCAGCGGCCCCTTATCGCTGCGCTGCTCGGGTGGGTCGCTGAGCTTCTCGAGGCCGCTGAGTAAACTGGCCGCTCGCTACGGGCATTGCGCAGGCCCGAGGGCCCGCTGCTTTCCAAACCTGACGATGGCGGGCCGATGGGTCGCAGGCCGATATGGGCCTTCCCAGCGCTGCGCCGCGTCTCGGCTACGCCGTAGGCAGGGCGCAGCTGTTGCGCGATGGCGCGGGCATCGGGCGACGCTGACGGCGGCGCCGGGCCCGAGGAGCTCGCCCAGGACCTCGCCCCCGAGCTGGCGGCCGTGGAGGCAGCCAGACTGGCAATATGCGGCGGAGCCCCCGAACTGGCGCAAGGCCTTCGACGAGGTCAGCCTGCAGTTCCTGGAGCGGGTGCTGACGCGAGCTGGCATTCCTGAGCGGGCGCGCGGCCCGCTGCTCGCCGCCTGCATGGCGCCCCGCAAGCAGAGCGTCGACGGCGTCTTCGGTGGCCCGCGGGTGCCAAGCAGCGGGGCTCTCCCTGGATGCGCGCTGGCCGCGTTCATGCCGCGCGTCTCGGCGCGGCCGTGGCGCCTGCGCACTGGGCGAATCGCGGCGGCCTGAGGCGCCGCGCGCATGTCGACTACCTCGCCTTGTCGGCGCGCGGGGACCCAAACGCAGGCGCCGAAGCATACATGGATTGGCAGGTGCACGAGGTCAAGAGCAGACAATTTGCCAATCTGGCCTCCGCGTGGCAATGGCTCCAGAACGAAATGCCGTCGATCTCCGCCAGGAATCTGCGACCTCGGAGTCGGCCGCGCCAAGCGAGCGGCGCCAGCACCCCGTGGCCCCAGCGCTGGCCTGCGGCCTGCGGCCGCTCTGCGAGCATCCGCCGCCTGCCCGCGCCGTTTCCACTGGCGGCGCTTGATGGGAGCGGCCGCAGGCACGGCCGCGGGCATGGCCCCTCCGATCGCCCGGACAGAGGTGAGCTGGAGCGGCTGCGCCGCGCTGCCAAGGCTGACGCTGGCCTTGGGCCCTGGGCTGCCGCCGAGATCGTGTTTGGCGTGCTCAGCCCCACTGGGCGCCTGGAGCCCAAGTCACCAATGGTCGTCGTGCCGGTGCTGCAGACCGCGCGAGCACTCTGGACTGGCCAGCTCGGCCTCGCCTCGTGGCGCGACTCGGCTGCCGCTGTCCTCGCCAGAACTGGGCACGCTGTCGAGACGTCGGCCGCGGCTCTGCGAAGCTTGCGCGAGCTGGGCCTGGGCGGCGACACGGAGCGGGCTCGGCGTGCAGACAGCGCCGCACGGCTGACGCTCGACAGAGCACTCAGTCACGGCGGTTCATGGCGGCGTGGCACAATGGCGCGGGGCTCTGGGCCATGGGGGCGTGACACGGGCGGGGCACCGGGCAGGGTGCCGCAAGGTGGCTTCGTGTCGGCCGTGTTTTGCCTCTTGGCCAGCGGCGTGAACAGGTGGGCGACTCGCCGCCTGCTTGCCATCGACGCCCTCGCGCCCGAGGCCGCCAGCGCGCAACGCAGCGTCATGTGCGACAGCGTCGTCGCCGAAGCCATCACGGCGAAACGAAACGGTCATGCTGCCGGCACGTGCTCGCACTGCGGGTCCGGCGAGGACCTCGAGCATCGCGTCTGGCTGTGCCCAGCGTGGGAAAACCCCCGCCGCGCCGCGCTGCTGGCCGCTCCGCCACGGACGGAGACGCTGCCCGGGAACGCTGGTGCTTTGCAGCAGCTGTTGCCAGACGCCCACCCCAGGCCGCGCTGCTGACTGGACCCCTTGCTGGCGCGAGCGGCGTTGGGCTCGCAAACCCGAGCCTCGCCGGAGCGGTTGACGGTCAACTGACTGCCCAGTGGAGGAGACGGCCGCGGTGGCGGCGGCACGAATCGTCGGGGGCCCAGTCGACTTGGCCTCAGACAGCCAGTACGTCGTACGGCTTCGCGCCCAGATCGCACGGGGCGGCTGCGGGCCCGCTGGATTTAACAGCTCAGGCGCGGCTCCTGGGCCTGAGCGAGCGCGACCGCCTCGGCAACGCCGTGGCCGACAGCAACGCCAGCGCCACCGCTGCGCGGCGGACCGAGCCTGGCGAGCTGGTGCGCGCCCGCCGCAGGGAGCTGGAGCTGCGGGAGGCGGCGCGGCGGGTGAAAACTGCTGCCCAGCAAGCGGCCCTTGCGGCTGCTCCGGCGCGCGGTGTCCGCCGCGGGGTTCGTGCTCGCGCGGCCTCCGCCCCAGCGGGCCACGCCCCGCCTAACCCGGCCCGCGCGGCCCCGCGGGCCACGAAACGAGTGAGGGGAACCCAAATTGGGGACGGCACCGCATGCGGACCCTGCCAGGGCCACGATCCGTGTGAGGGGTGTGGCGACATGGGGGTGGAACCGCATGCGGACCCTGCCGCTGAGGCCTTCGGTGGGGCCCCCTATGGGGCCACGACGCGTGTGAGCGGTGTGCCGAAATTGAAATGGAACCGCATGCGGACCCTGCCACGACGCGTGTGAGGGGTGTGCCCAAATGGGGACGGAACCGCACGCGGACCCTGCCCCTGGGCCCTCCCTGTGGGGCCACGAAACGTGTGAAGGGTGTGTGCCAAAATTGGGGTGGAACCGCATGCGGACCCTGCCACTGGAGCCTTCGGTGGGGCCCCCTTTGGGGCCACGAAGCGTGTGAGCAGTGTGCCGAAATTGAAATGGAACCGCATGCGGACCCTGCCACCGGGGCCTTCGGTGAAGCTCCCTGTGGGGCCACGAAGCGAGTGAGGGTGTGCCAAAATGGGGACGGAACCGCATGCGGACCCTGCCACTGGGGCCTTCGGTGAAGCTCCCTGTGGGGCCACGAAGCGTGTAGCGTGTGAAGGGTGTGTGCCGAAATTGGGGTGCAACCGCATGCGGACCCTGCCACTGGGGCCTTCGGATGGGCACCCTATAGGGCCACGAAGCGTGTGAGGGGTGTGCCCACATGGGGGTGGAACCGCATGCGGACCCTGCCACGGGGGCCTTCGGTGGGGTCCCCGGGGCCATGATCCTCGTCAAAGGTGTGCCAAAATGGGGACGGAACCGCATGCGGACTGCCACTGGGGCCTTCGGTGAAGCTCCCTGTGGGGTCACGACGCGTGTGAGGAGTGTGCCGAAATTGAAATGGGAAACGCATGCGAACCGGGACCGAGCCACTGGGGCCTTTGGTGGTGCCCCTGTGGGGCCACGAAGCGTGTGAGGAGCTTGCCGAAATGGGAGTGCAACCACATGTGGACCCTGCCATTGGGGCCTTCGGTGGGGCCCCCTATGGGGCCACGAAGCGTGTAAGGGGTTGCCGAAATGGGGTGGGAACCGCATGCGGACCCTGGCACTGGGGCCTTCCGTGAAGCTCCCTGTGGGGCCACGAAACGTGTGAGGGGTGTGCCGAAATGGGGGTGGAACCGTATGCGGACCCTACCACGGGGGGCTTCGGTGGAGCTCACTGTGCGGCCACGAAACGTGTGAGGGGTGTGCCGAAGTGGGCGTGGGGGACGCATGCGGGCGGTGGTTCTGGTGCATTCGGAGGAGCTCCCTATGGGGCCACGAAGCGTGTGAGGGGTGATGGTGATGATGAAGGCGATGATGATCATGATGACGATGGTGGTGGTGAGGGCGGTCGTGAGGACGATGATGACGGTGATGACGTTGGTGATGACGATGATGATAATGATGAGGAGGCGGAGCAGGGGGAGGAGGGGGAGGAGGAGGAGTGAGTGAGGAGACGCGGGGCGCTGTCTCTTCAAAACAAGGACCCAATACCACAAGATGGTTGGGCGAAACATTAACAAAAACTATCCGCGCGAAAGACCCAACCATGCCCAATTGTGAATACCGCGCTGTGGGTACCGCGTTCGGTAGAACTCCATATGAGGCCACGAACCATGTGAGGGGTGTGCCAAACTGGGCGTCGGGCGCATGCGGCCTGTGCCACTGGGGCCTTCGGTGGAACTCCCTGTGGGGCCACGAACCGCGTGAGGGGTACGCCGAACTGATTGTCGGTCCCTGCATGCGGACCCTGCCACTGGGGCCTCCGGTGGAATTCCTGTGGGGCCACGAACCCTGTTGGGCCACGAACCGTGTGAGAGGTGTGCCAAAATGGGGACGGAACCACATGCGGACCCTGCCGCTGGCTGGGGCCTCCGGTGGAGCTCCCTGTGGGGCCACGATCCTCGTGAGGGGTGTGCCTAGATGGGTGGCGGTCCCCGCATGCGGACCCTGCCACTGGGGCCCCTTCGGTGGAATGCCCTTTGGGGCCACGAACCGTTTGAGGGGTGTGCCTCAATGGGTTGCGGTCCCCGCATGCGGACCTGCCGCCGGGGCCTTCGGTGGAGCTCCCTGTGGGACCACGATGCTCGTGAGGGGTGTGCCACATGGGTGGCGGTCCCCGCATGCGAACCCTGCCGCTGGGGCCTTCGGTGGAGCTCCCTGCGGAACCACGAACCGTGTGAGGGGTGTGCCAAAATGGGTGGCGGCCCCCGCATGCGGACCCTGCCGCTGGGGCCTTCGGTGGAGCTCCCTGTGGGGCCACGATCCTCGTGAGGGGTGTGCCTAGATGGGTGGCGGTCCCCGCATGCGGACCCTGCCACTGGGGGCTCCGGTGGAGCTCCCTATGGGGCCACGAAGCGCTGTCCTGGGTGGCGTTGACGCATGCGGCCTGAGGCGGATGGGAAGAGGGAGGAGGGGGAGTAGGAGGAGAGGAGAGGAGAGGAGACGCGGGGCGCTGTCTGCTCAAAGCGAGGAGCGAGCACCACAGGATGGTTGGGGGGAAACATGACGTCGGGGGTCTGGATACGCAGAAGGTTTCTAAAGCTCCAAGACATAACCCGAGGCCCTCGGAGCCTGCTGAGCTGGCCCGCCCCTCTCGGCCTTCCCCCCCCCGGGCCCGCCGCCGAAAGAAGGGGGAGGGGAGGGAGCGCCAGGCCGCGCGCCCCGCAGCGGCGCGGGAGCCGATCAAGGACGTGCGCACCCCCTTCATGCTCCTGAGTATCCTTCTTCTTCTCCTCCTCCTCCTGCTCCTCCTTCTCCTCCTCCTGCTCCTGCTGCTCCTGCTGCTCCTGCTGCTGCTGCTGCTCCTGCTGCTGCTGCTGCTGCTCCTGCTGCTCCTGCTGCTCCTGCTGCTCCTCCTGCTGCTCCTGCTGCTCCTGCTGCTCCTCCTCCTCCTCCTCCTCCTCCTCCTCCTCCCTCCTCCCTCCTCCCTCCTCCTCCTCCTCCCCTCCTCCCCTCCTCCCTCCCTCCCTCCCTCCCTCCCTCCTCCCTCCTCCTCTCCTCCCTCCTCCCTCCTCCCTCCCTCCTCCCTCCTCCTCCTCCCTCCCTCCCTCCTCCTCTCCTCCTCCTCCTCCTCCTCCTCCTCCTCCTCCTCCTCCTCCTCCTCCTCCTCCTCCTCCTCCTCCTATCCTCCTCCTCCTCCTCCTCCTCCTCCTCCTCGTCATCATCATCATCCTACGCGTGCACACAAGAGCAGCCCCCCTCCCCCCAGTTCGCGAGGCTGCCCCCGTGAGCGTCATGAGCGTTCGCGCGCGCGGCGCTCCAACGGAACCCGCGCGAAGGCACGCGCGCGTACGCTGAATTGTCTGGCCTTAGGTCGGGCCTGTCCCCCTACAGGGGGATTGTGGATGATCGAATGACGCCAAAATCTATTCAAAAAATAGTCCCCAGACTATGTTTTGACTATTTTTGAGTATTCCCGCTGTAGAGGGACAGGCCCGACTCAAGTCTCGCCCCCGAGAAGAGCTGGCACGCCATGAAAGGGATACGGGAAACATTCGGGGAAAGACGGATTACATAAAAGCTCAGAGGTCCGCGCGGATTTCTCGGATCGGCGGTGGGGCCTCCTGGCGGCGCCTCTGGCGCCGCCCCTGGCGCGCTCCGCGCGCCAGGGATGGCGGTCCAGCGCGGATCCAAGAAATCGGCGCGGACCTCCGAGTTGTTATGTTTATGTTATTATTCGTTCCCCTAAACATGGACAAGATGCCGAGCAGCTAATGTTGCCCCAAACAAACAGCGGCCCCTTGTTGGGCAGGCGGCCCTCTGTCTCAGCTGGCGAACGTCCGCGGAGACACCAGCAACGAAGGCGGCCCTGCACGAACAAGAACTGCTTCGGAGGCAACCCACGGAAGCCCCCCATACCATCTTGTCGGCTCATGTGAATCGACGCTAGTCGACGCTAGCTCGACGCGAGTCAACGCTGAATCGACACTAATCGACGCTAGCCGGCGCTGAATCGGCGCTATCGACGCTCATCGACGCCAGCCGACGCCAAACACAGAATTGCGAAGGTACACGAGGCTACCATGATCTGCTGCCGAAGACTGCCGTTGGCCTGGGTGCCCAGTCTTCCCGTACGTGCCCGTCTCGACTTCACCGGCAAGCGCGACCCGCAGCAGCGGTGCTGCAGGCGCGCATGCACCCCGCCGGCACCATGGCAGGCCCAGGTTTAGGGGGCCACATGCGAACCCTGCCCCTGCCCCCCACGACTTCTGAGGGAGAGGGTGGGGTTCACTTCGCTCGGGAGCTCCCGAACGAAGTGAACCCCACCCTCCCCCTCAGAAATCGTGGGGGGCAGGGGCAGGGTTCGCTTGCGGCACCCTGAAGTTGGCGATGGGCCATGGGCCCCCCTGCAGCAGGCGGACTCGCACGACGAGTCGCGGCCCCGCCGGGCAGAGGAGCGCCGCGGCACTGCACTGGGCGCCAAGTCTGCGAGCCCTGCGAGCGTCGGAGCCGCGCTCGTCTTCACAGGCGCGGGCGAGCCTCGCGGCGAGACGCGAGGAGCAGCAGGAGAGGGGACGAGGAAGGGAGGGTGGCGGGTGGAAAACTGGCAGCCGGACGTCGGAGCCACACGTGTCAGCGGGAGTGCCAGGTGGGCGAGAGAGGTACGAGCGGGAGCGTTCGGGTGGGGACGGTTCAGGCGGGAAGACATCAACATGTAATCGTCGGCGCGTCGGCGATAGATCGGCGATCTGCCCCCCGGCAGCGAAGCTGCAAGCTGCTGGGCAGGGTGGGCTATCAGGACCCTATCGGCGATCAATGGGCGACTGGGGTTCGATGCATCCCTCCTGAGAGCCTCTCGCCCCCGGACGCTGCCTCTGAGAAACGTATCCGACAAGCAGTGGGAACGGCGGGCAACCGGTACAGCGGTCATCCGTCGATGCCCCTTGTCGTCATGGTGGCGACCGCGTCTGATGGCTGGCCACTGCTGCACTGACCGCTCTCCATCACCACTTCACAGGGAGGGCTCGGCATCGGATCGCGACCGGTCGCAGCGCAAGGCGCCCCCACCCGTGAATACAAACGCGTTCCTTTCTTTCCAGCAGGCCGTCCGGTTCACGGGTGGGAGCGTCGTACTCCAACAGGTGCCGCAATTCGCAATTGGCGTTTCACCTTCACCCCAGAATTGCTGCAAAACGCGTGTTGGTGTGGAACTACGAATTAGCATGCAAGCAGACTCGGCCAATGCAGAAGCCTGCGAGAGTGCACTGCGCAAAAGCGGACGCGGCGCGAAGAACGCCGCTGCTGCCGAGAGCATCGCCACAAGCGAGCTCCGCGCTTAAAACACGACTGACCTCGTACAATGGATTCTTCCATCGTGCCTCCTCTACCACTCCTTGTCATGGGATGCTGTTGCGGATGCCATGACCATGGGCACCCTAACAATCCTATCATTTCATCAAAATTGTTAAAACTGCATGCTTAAGTCATGTTTTAGACACCTGGAAATTATTTGGCAACATGCTTCCTCTCCGTCGATCGCTCTCCACAAAGATGCGGACTCAAGGGCACGGGTCCAAGACACCGGGGCGCGTTCACGAGGGTCCTGTGGGGCCCAGGGGGTGACTCTACCTACCAGACCACCCAAACCCAAAACCCGCAGACCCGAATTTCGGGTTGGAGGGGGTACGGGTTCCATGTGTTATGAAGAAAGTCCTGGAGGCCTCGAGCGGCAACTCGAGACCAAATTCACGTCGGATCTACGTCGGATTTACGTCGGGTTCACGTCGGACTCCGTCGGATTTGCGTCAGACTGACTCTGGAGCATCGCCGCGCGAGCGTCGACACACCGCTTACGGAACTGACAAGTGGACCAGATCATACCACTGTTACGCGCCGCGCGAGGCCTCCAGGATTTTGCTCATCACATATGTGTGTTTCTCCATGTTCCCCCCCCCCACACACACTGGAAATGGAGGGCAGATTGAGGCCTTCGGGTTGGGTTGGGGTGGTTTGGTGGGTGGTCAGGGAGCGCCCCGAGCGCCTGAGAACGGAGCAAACCCCAGGACCTCGTTGCCTCATCGTGGCGATCCCTCCCAGGCCCCCTGGACATACGCTTCCGCCAGGGCCGTCAAAGGTGCTCGCCCGACTGCCGACCCTGCGAGCCCGAGGAGGGGAACCGTGAGCTTGCTTCGGGAACGCGCCGCCTCCTTGGAGCCCTGTATTGTTGAAGGGGCCCTGGGGCACCGAAAGAAATGCACACAAATCCCAGAATTCCCCATACCTTATCATCTCATATGTTCTGAATTTTCGTCTTCCCCCACAGTTCCCATATGTTGCCGTGTTTTCCTGGGAATCGTCGATCCATTGTGTCTGTGTGTTTGTCCCCCTCCTGAATTATTCGCGAGAGCGCTCGTCACAGGCCCCGCCCCAGCCCACCCCCCCTTCCCCACCCCCTGGACACGTGACGACTCGCGCCGGCTTGGTCTGGGAGTCAGCCATTCCCGAGCAGTCTCCGACGGCGCCAGAGCGAATCGTGACGTTACTACAGTTAACGCATTGGATAAGGAATCCTTAGGAATCCGGGGTCTGGAAGCCTGTGGAGCTCCAATCGTGGAGCGACCGTGGATATATCACCGCCGCATTCATCGGATAAGGAGCCCTTCCGGGTCTGAAACCTCCTGGGCACATTCCTGCACGAACTCCTCCGCCGGAGCCCCCTCAGCCCGAGGAGGAGGAAGAGGGGGGATAAAAAAAACAGCCTGCGGCCTCTCCCCTCATAAATAAACGAGTGTCCCCGATATTAGAGAGAGCGTGATCCACCGCCGCTCTACTGTGGAAAATTGCCAACCTTTTCCTCCGGAGCCCGGGGGTCGCCCCCCCCCCTTCCGAAAATCCCCCCCCCCTGCTGGACCCCCCCCCTCCCCCGGCAACCCCCCCCCCCGCCCTAACCCCTCCCCCCCCCCCCCTCCCCTCGAAAACCGGGGGGGGTCACTACCGGTTCGAACCCCTCCCCCCCCCCCCCCCCTCCCGCTCGAAAACCGGGGGGGGGGGGTCACTACCCGTTCGAACCCCTCCCCCCCCCCCCCTCCGGATCCGGAAAACTGGAGGGGGCCACTACCGGTTCGCACCCCCCCTTCCCCTTTCCCCCCCCCCCCTACTCACCGCCAGCAAACGACTCCCGGTCCCCACCACCGTCCGCATCACATCCCCCACTGGTGTTCCCAGCACCACTGTCCTCACCACCGCTGTTCCCACTGGTTCCACCACCGCCCCTACTGTCCCCACCAGTAGCCCCACCACTGTCGCACTGTCCCCGCTGTCCCCAGAACTGTTCCCACCACGGCTCCACTCTCCCCACTGTCTCCACGGCCCCAACCACTGCCCGACTATCACCAATGTCCCCACTTTCCCACTGACTCCTCCGCTGTCCCACTGAGCTGTCCCACTGTTCCCACCACTGTCCCCACTGTCCCCACCACTGTCCCCACTGTACCTCTGTCCCATTGTCCCACCGCCGTCCTCGCCACCGCCTTCACCACTGTCCCCACCACCATTGTACCCTCCACTGTCCCACTGTTTCCACCTCATTCCCATTGTCCCCACACCACTGTCCCCACCACCACCGTCACCACCACTGTCCACTGTCCCCCCCTGTTCCCACCATTGTCCCCACCACTGTCCCCACCACTACCGTCCCCACCACTGTCCCACTGTCCCACTGTCCCCACCACTGTCCCGCTATCCCCTCACCACTGTCCCCACCAACACCGTCCCCACCACTGTCCGCACCCCCACTCGGTTTTCGAGGGGGGGGGGGTTCGAACCGGTAGTGACCCCCCCCCGGTTTTCCGGATCCGGAGGGAGGGGGGGGGGGAGGGGTTCGAACCGGTAGTGACCCCCCCCCCTTTTGATGAGCAGGGGGGGGGGGGGGGGGGGGGGTTCGAACCGGTAGCGACCCCCCCCGGTTTTCCGGAAGGGGGGGGGGTGGGGGGAGGGGTTCGAACCGGTAGTGACCCCCCCCGGTTTTCCGCCAGCAGCGGTAGAACACGCTCTTTCCGATATTAAGAAGAAGATTCGGAGTTCCAGGGGAAAATTCAACCGTGTGTCCGGGCGAGTCCCACGTACGGATGGACGGGTAACTGTTGCCCGTACATCATATGGAGCCTATTATTGTCATTTGGCCTGGCTTTCCTGCGCCTCCAGTGGTCCACAGTCGTTTGCTCGTGCCACTAGAGGCCACTGGGAGCTACGGGAGGCCACCAGAGGCCATTGGAGGCCGCGGGGGGGGCCACTGGAGGAGACATTGGAGGCGGCTCTAGGCTTGCGGGGGGGCGCTGGGGTCCAGTGGTGGCCGTTGGAGGAGCCACTGCGGCCACCTGGGTGATTACGAAAGGCTCCCAGGTGCATCTTCTGACATGGACAGCACCACATTTCGTGACCTGGGAAAGCTGAGGTGGTGAGAATCCCATGGCCCTGCCACGCGTTCCTGGCTCGGGCAGGGCTGAGATGAGAATCCCATGGCCCTGCCACGCGCACGTGACTTGGGAAAGCTGCAATGGTGGGAATCCCACAGCCCTGCCAAGCGTTCGTGACTTGGGGAAGCTGCAGTGGTGAGAACCCCATAGCCCTGCCACGTTCGTGATAATTTGTCTTCTCAACATACGAAGATAGCAACTTCGATTCGTAGCTTTCCCCGGGGATGATGAAGTTCGGCCTCGCCGCCCCTCTTCTCCGACCAAATCTGTCTTGGCCAGAGATAATCAAGACCAGGGGCTTAAAGAGGGGGGATGATGTATCATCCGGGGCATGGGGTTACCCTCCCGCTGGGAGCCGTCCGCGGAGCTCTCGCCCGACGGCCGACAACTTGAGCCCGCGAGGGGATCCTGAGAGCCTGCGTTGCCGAAGAAGCGGCAGCATCGCGACAAAGCACGACTGGAACTTCCGAGCCGGATCGAGCTGCGATTAAGACGAAGCCAGGATCGGGGCAAAGTTTGACCGGGATAAAAATCATGCTCGGTTTTTCAAATCACCGGGGGCGCCGCCGAACGGGCCTGCCACGCCTTGGGCACCATCGGCTTCGCGAGGGAAAAAATGCGCCCCGGCGCGGATGAGGCCACGGCGCGTATTTGGCCACGCGCACGCCCGAGGGAATTCAGCGCCAAGCGCCTTTCACTCCCGAAGACCCGGCGTCAACAAAACAAACTTGAGGCCCCAAGGGGGCCCCAAAGAGGCGGACCGCCAAAACAATCACGCAACCAACGCAACGGAAAACACGTGTAAATGTCAAAAAGCGCAGTGCTCAGTGACCTCTTCGGCCACTCAACACCGCGATAATGCCCAAGAAGGCATTGGAAAAAGGGCCCGCGCGCGGCCTGGCGACTTCCCCGCGCCGCCCCAGGGTTCCCGAAGCGCGCCGAAATAACCGTAGAGAAAACCCCAGAAAGTCTTTGGAAGGCCCCCGCACCATGCAATATCCGCCACCGAATAATCTCGCGGACACCTAGCGCGCGCGCGGGCGTCCACCATGGATGCCCAACTCCGGTTTCGGAGACAATCGCGCGCAACCGCCCGGGGGCTTCGGCAACCTCGTGATTGGCCCAGGGGCCCGCGGGCCCCAGGGAATCGAGCACCGAGTTCGCAACTCCGGAAGCATCGGGCGCGGCGCCAGCCAGTCGCTCGTCTCTGGCTGACAGTGGGACGCCTGGAGATCTGGTAAAACCTGAGGAACCGCTTTTCAGAGATTCACAGAACCAGAAACCGGGGCGCGCCAAATTCTCGCGTCCGAACTTCTCTGAGAAACAATGAAAATCTCTGAACTAGACACCCCGCGTGCAACATTCCCATAAACCCAAAACCTCGGAGTTGGCCGAAACTCTCTGAGAGTATTTCGGCCCGCGAAATTTGGCGCGCCCGGATTTCTGGTTCCGAGATTCTCTGAAATCGGCCTGCGGCGGCGCCCAGCAGGTCCTCACGCGCCGAGGGTGGGAGCCGTGGACATCGCGGGCCGCGATGGTCCCGACCACGAGGTCCTTCCTCCTGCCCCTCGACGAGTCCACGCTCATGGACACGCTCTCTGCGCTGAGCGTGGACCGCGCCATCCGCCGGTACTTCTGCGCGACGACAGCCAAGTGGCCGCCGACGGACAAGGCGATTCTTCTCCGAGCTGCGCGTGCCACCGACAACGTACAATAGCTCCGGGCTCGCGGAGAAACACTTTCGAAGCATTTTCAAGCCGCCAGCGTCGTGGCTGCCGACCCGCCGCGCGCCGACCGCGAGACTAGCTGGGTCCACTACGTCCACGGCGGCGGGCGGGCGCCCAAGAGAGCTGTCGCCACGGTGCGCGCGGCGGGGCGCCCGCCCCACTGCAACCGCACATGCGGCCTCCATGGCGCCACAGGCGTAATATGTGTGACGTACTCTCGGGCCCCCCATCAACGCATCGGCCAACGCCTAAGTCCCTGAAACGCAAACCTACTGCGCCCCCCGTGCAAGCCGTGCACCCGCTCCCAATACTCGTGCACACCCGCTTTTCTGCCCGCCCTCAAAAATTTAATTGAGCGCCCATGTGTTACTTGGGCTCCTCACGCCCTCGAAAAGTCCTTGGGGAACTTCTGCGAATGCGCGCGCTGCGCTCCACAATTCGGCGTTCTATTTTTCTTTGGAACTCTTCCAAGATCTCTGGTTCCGGTTTGCTCCGATCTTCCGCTCAACTGAGCGATGGCCCCCGGGCCTGGCATGGCCCCCGGGCCCGAGACCAGGAAACGATGCCCGGTTTGGAAGCACTGCTGTCGCCGTGGGGGTCAAAGGTGATCTCCAAGGCCGTCCGTGGTGCTCGCCCGACGGCCGACCCCTGGAGCCCGAGAGGCGAGCCCCGAGCTCCGCCGCTGCGAGACAATGGCGACGTCGCGGAAGAACGCGACCGGGGCCCCAGGCCCGATCGTTCTTAGAGGGGCCCATGGAGGCATATTTATACATATATATAGATAGATATACACAATGTCCAAGAGTCCCCACGTGTTTCAACATTCTATGGATGTTCATCTTCCCCTCCGTTGCCTATTTCCTGGGATATCGGCGGCTCGGTGTCCCTGTGCCCCTGTTCCCCTGCTAGTTTCTGCCGAACCGCGGCCGTTCCTATCTAGGGGTATGTCGGGCCTGTCCCCCTACAGGGGGATTTTCAACGAACAATGCAGAGTACCCCAAAAATACTCCAGAAAGGCAAAAAAATAGTCCCAAAATAGTCCCCAAACTATTTTTGGACTATTTTGGGGGTATTCTTCAGTTTTCGTCGAAAATCCCCCTGTAGGGGGACAGGCCCGATTGAAATCTAGGGCCCGAGGCCAGGCGAGGAAGCCCAGCGTGAGCACAGTGCAACGTCCAGATCTTAGATTGCATCTTCGGGGGACCTTGCCTGCCCCGTCGCTCCGCGATCCGGGCACAATCCGCGTGGCAGCCCTGTGTCGAGACCGCACCGAATCCGTGCCGAGCCCGTGCCGCATCCGCCGTCGCACCCGCGTCGGAGGACGAGGAAGGGCCGCAGCTCCCACAGGACGAGCAGAGGCCCCCCCCGAAGATGCGAAGCGACGGCTCCGAGGGGAGCCCCGGGCTCCCTGCGGGCACGAACCGCCTCCCCCTCCCTGCCCCGAGCCGCCGGTGTGCCACCGAGCGGCCGGCGCAGGTGCGGGGAACAACCCCCGGCGGGCGCGCGAACGAGAGACAGACGCGGCTCGGATGCGATGCGGAGCACATTTGTTGTTGCTGTCGCAGCTGGGCCGACGAGCTGCTCCTCGCGCTTGGTTAGGGGACGAACCACCTCGTGGGCTGCTCCGAGCCGCTCGCGCCCCGAGAGACCGGCGCGGGCCCCCCCTCGCAGACATCACGGGGCCACGCTCCCCGCGCGGTGCCCGACACGGGCGTGGCTCGGCCGAGCGCAGACCCAGCTGATTTTGAAGGGGCCCTGGGACACACAAATAAATATACACAAATAACAGGATCCCATATATTTCCTGATATGTTCTGGGTTTTTGTCTTCCCACTTCCCATATTCTTCTATATTTTCCTGGGAATCGACGATGAATTGTGTATGTGCGTGTTTTCCCTCCTGAGATTTGCAGTTAAAGAGCCCCTAGCTTTGTGGGAGCGGACCTCTGTTAAGAGGCCCAGTGCGTTGGGGATGTGGGGTCTTTACTGCAATAGTTATCAAGCCAAACCTCCCAGATCCAGTATCCCTGATGCAGAGGCAGGGGCCCAGGGGCTCTTTGTTCTCGATGACCAGCTCCTCCCGTTTAGAAAAAATGCGTTGCATTTTTTCGGGGGCTCTTCAAGCCCAACGGGGATCGCGACGCTACCCCCTCCCCGCCTCCCCCCCCAAATCACGCCCGTCATCGCCAGGGGATCGCAAACAAAATGTCACGGAGCCTCGTCTTTACAAGAGGGTGTAGAGACCGAAAATATGGCGCCCGAGTGCGACCGAAACTGGCGCACGAAATCTCGCGACCGCGCCCGAGTTTGACCGAAATGTTTGGTTCGAGACAAATACGATTGTCAGTGTGGGTGGCAATTTCGGTCACACTGCGTCTCTGGTCGCTATTTCGAGCACGCTTTCGGTCTCAGGCATACTCTTTTTGGCTCCTACGGGCCGGGCGCCATGAAAGATGCGCTGCAATACTTCGGGCGGCTGTGCAAACCCGGCTCCGCCAACATGTGAGGCCACCTCTCGCCATCGCTCGGACGTCCATTCCCTTTGCTTTTTTCGGTTTGGTGCGTGGCGTTTTCGCCACATGATCAACGGGTGCTCCTCGATGGTCCTCGCCGAAGGATTAATGCTCACGTCCGAGCGATGCCAAGACCTCCAGGGCCGCGAGCAGCTCCCGAACCCGGCTCGGCCAAACTCCGGCCCTGCAGGGTACTGCAGGATCCAGCGTTCTGGCTGCGCTCTGTCTGCGTTGAGCCGTCACATGCTCCCCGACCTCCACAGCCCCCCCCCTCCCTTCCCCTCCCCCTCCCCCTCCTCCTCCTCCTCCTCCTCCTCCTCCTCCTCCTCCTCCTCCTCCTCCTCCTCCTCCTCCTCTCTCCTCGTCCCCCCCCCTTCTCCCCCCCCTCCTCCTCCTCCTCCTCCTCCTCCTCCTCCTCCTCCTCCTCCTCCTCCTCCTCCTCCTCCTCCTCCTCCTCCTCCTCCTCCTCCTCGTCCCCCCCCCCCTTCTCCCCCCCCCCTCCTCCTCCTCCTCCTCCTCCTCCCTCCTCTCCTCCTCCTCCTCCTCCTCCTCCTCCTCCTCCTCCTCTTCCTCCTCCTCCTCTTCCTCCTCCTCCTCAACGTACACTAGGACCCTTCCGCAGTGCAGGCCTCTGGTGCGAGAGCGGCGCCCCTGCACTGCACCATGTGCGGCCTCCGAACGGGCCCCGCTCCAGCGCGGTACGGTGCGTCGAATTTTCGGCTCCGAGGGCAGAAAGAGCTGCGTACCGTACCAGTCCTAGGTCGAGAATCGACGACGCCTTGGGAGATGCCAGCGCGGGCCGGTGCACACACACACACACACAAACACACACACACACACACCCACATACACACACCCACACACACACACGACATCCGCGGATCTGGATTTGGCGGCGGGCCTCTCAGGAGACGCCGAGAGGGCCCACGCCATTGAAAATCACAGCGCCAGAGGCCTTGCCATGAAGGCTCTGGTGACGCGGCCGACCTCGCTAAATCGAGCCCAGGCTCCGCTGGCATGAGGTCTCTGATGACGCGGCGCACCTCGCTATATCGAGCCCAGGCTCCGCTGGCTCTGCATCGTGTTCTGCTTGCTCATCATGAAGGACATGCTCTGCAGCGTCAGGGTCGGTGCCACAGGTTGGCCGTCGTGGCTGTGCTGGCTCCGAGGGCTCGCGCTCGTGTGCTGGCTGCCGGAACGCTTGAGGCCATGGCCCAGCTGGGCCAGCTGCTGGCAGGCCACCAAGGCGGGAAAGCTCCTGAAGTCGGTGGTGAACCCAAAACTAGGTTCTTCTGCTCCATAGTGCGGAGTAGCCTCCGCCTTCTGCCAGGCGTCTCGGCTGGTCATGATGTCCAGCATGTTCGCAATGTTATGCATCATCCATTCGCTCTGGTACTGCAACTTCATGACGTCTATAGTCTTGGCTTCGCCCTTTAAGCGAAAACAGCCGAGTAAGAACTCTTCCACATTGATGTAGCCCTTCCGGTCGCGGTCCAGCAGCAGGAACAGCGTGCGCACGTCTGTCACCTCCAGGTCCAGCGCGTGGAAGCTGCTCACCAAGTTGTTGTCCACATCCAACAGAGCGTCGTGCATGCTCTCAAACGTCACGGTGCCGTGGCCACCCGGATCCAGCTCGTCGAAGAGCTCGTACAGCCTCCTGATGCTCGTGAGCCTCCTGTCGATGGCGTCCTGCTCCTGCGTGGCCTTGTCGTTGCGGGCCCAGTGGTTGGCGATCTCCACAAAAAACCGCGGACCTGGCCTGGAGGCACCGGGCTGCTTGCTTGCTTGCTTGCTCCTCGTGCTAGACATCCGCCTGGGCGACCTGGACACGTGAAACCAAGCGTCTCGCTCGAGACATCCTCAACATATCCTCATGCTTGACATCTGCCTGTGCAACCTGGACGCGTGAAAAAAAGGCGTCTCGCTCGAGACATCCGCTCAAATCCTCATGTTAGGCATCCTGCTGGGCGACCTGGGCGCGTGAAAACAAGCGTTTCGCTCGAGACTTTCTTACCACCTCTTGTGGTAGTCATCCGCCTGGGCGACCTGGGCACGTGAAACCAAGCGTTTCGCTCGAGACTAGACATCCACCTGGGCGACCTGGATACGCGAAAGCAATCGACTCACTCGAGACATTCGCAGCACATCTTTCATGTTAGACATCCGTCTGGAAGTGAAAACAAGCGTTTCGCTCGAGACGTTCTCAACACATCCTCCTGCTAGACATCCGCCTGGGCGACAAGGACACATGAAAATAATCGTCTCGCTTGAGGGATCCTCACCACATCCTCATGCTACATTTCTGCCTGGGCGACCTGGACGCGTGAACCCGAGAGTCTCGCTCTGTCTCGCTCGCGCGAGACGTTCGAGACATTCTCTGAATTTCGGTCCCCAGGAAAGGAATAACCTATAGCACAAAACAAACGTTTCGCTCGAGATGTCCTCAACATATTCTGCAAAACAAGCGTTTCGCACGAGAAATCGGCAACAAATGACATCGTGAATATTACCATGTGTTTTATCGATCGGAATTTCAAAAACCAGCGTTTCGCTCCGGACATCGTCACGCTTTTCATTTGCCGGCCCTACGCGCCTCATGATTTGTTGCAAAACAAATTCGCTGGCCCTTCGCAAGTCGAGGCGGGGGTTTAACCAACTAAAAAAAGAACCCTGGGCCACGCCCTTTCCAGGAACCACTGTATTGGGAAGGGGACGGTTAAGACCCCCCTGATGGTCCGGAGGTGGCACTGCAAAGCGATATGACTGCCCGTGACAACGTTGGATGCACGCGCGCACGTTGATGTGGACCACCCTGTCTGTGAGGTAGATCCACTCGTGGAAGTTACTGCACACGAAGACCATCATCGCGCCGAAAGGCGACAGGATCATTTAGCAGCTCAGGAAGGCTACCGTGCGCAGTAAGTTCTACGCGTAGATCTACCTCATCATAGTCAGGGAGTTCCACTTCAACGTGCGCACGTTGGATGCACCGAAGATGGCGAAAAGGACAAAGAACAAGAAGACAAACTTGAAGTGCGAAGCCAGGGGCGACAGGGCGGCGAAAAGGTCTCCCCAGTTAATGCCACCAGACATCGCTTGAAACAGCGAGAGCGCGGTGCTCTCGAGGGTGCCAAAGTATGATCGCAACTCTTTGCTCGTCTCGTCGTCCCACGAGTCATGCTCCTTCAGGCTGTCGATCACTCCCTGAGTCAGGATGATCCCGAAAACGTAGAACATGCCCATGAGAACGATAGTGGCCCAGAGCAATGGCCGCAGCGAGAACATGATGGACCGGATCATGATCCGCAACTGCATGAAGAACTTCAGCTGCCTCTGGGGGAACAAGAACATTCCGATCACGCCGCTACTTGGCCCTTTCCAGGGCGTGTCCGGACCAAGATTCGGAGGCGAATTCGGCCGTGGCAGCAAGGCACCCCAGGAGGTCCAACATGGCCTGGGGAACAGCATTGATAGCGGCATGTTGCTGTTGCTGTTGCTGATGTTGTTGCTATTGCTGTTGCTGTTGTTGTTGCTGCTGCTGTTGTTTTCGGTGATCGCAGGGCCTCTTTGCACCCGCACCAAAGGTCACTTTGGCGAAAGGTCATTCCTCCTCATCATCATCATCATCATCATCCCCCTCCCCTCCTCCTCCTCCGCCTCCTCCTCCTCCTCCTCCTCCTCCTCCTCCTCCTCCTCCCCCTTCTCCCCCTCCTCCTCCTCCTCCTCCTCCTCCTCCTCCTCCTCCTCCTCCTCAGCCTCCTCAGCCTCCTCCTCCTCCTCCTCCTCTTCCTCCTCCTACTCCGTTGTTGTTGCTCCTTCAGGCCTCACCGACCGCAGGAACCTGACGACCCGGAGGACGCGGAGGACGCGGAGGACCTGCCCCTGCGACCACAGCGACGACTCCGTCGTCGGCCTGGACACGCCCACCAAAAAGTCCAGGTGCATCAGCGTCACGACAAAGATGTCGAAGTAGTTCCACGACGCGTCGCTGCCCATCCTGGGACAACGCTCGGGAAATCGTCCTCGGCGTGTCGCGGCAGCGGCCCCGGCGACTCGCTATGCCCTGCACCCGGAAAGCGCGTTGCGCCGCTCCGCGGGCTCAGAGGCCTAGATGAGGACGAAAAGTTGACGCCCTGGGGCTACGAAGTGGTGAGTCAGCATGTCGCCCCGAAGCGTGGTGGGCCAGAATGGGCGGAGCGAAACGCGAAGCCGAGGTTCCTGGCCGTGAGTCGGGGATCAAGAGGAGCAGGAGGAGGAGGAGCAGGAGGAGTAGGAGAAGGACGAGGAGGAGGAGGAGGAGGAGGCGGAGGAGGAGGAGGAGGAGGAGGGCGGCGGCGGCGGGCTTATCAGGTGCACGGGTGTCTGTAACTCAGCGCCTGAGGAAAACTTCCCAGCACTGCATCAAGACCCAAGCACCTCGAGTGCGCTCGAAAGCGGGCAGTGCCAGGGGGGGGGTGGGGGCAAGAACGCCCCACGGTGGACTCCAGCCTCGGAGATATCCCTGGAGCCACCGAGCGTCCCCGACAAAACTTGGATGCTACTACAGTAGGCCGAGACAAACATGGAACGCAAGCAGCAGAGAGTGTTAATTAGTGCCCAACTCAATCCCTGCGTCCTTCGGTGCGATCAGGATCTGGTCTCCGAGGGATTCTTCCAACTAAACGAAAGATGCTGGCCTCTAGAGACCGACCCACAGGATTCTGAAAGGGAGGAAAGGAAGGAGGAGGGGGGGGAGGAGGAGGAGGAGGAGGAGGAGGAGGAGGAGGAGGAGGAGGAGGAGGAGGTGGAGGAGGAGGAGGAGGAGGTGGAGGAGGAGGTAGCGAGCGATGAAGAGCGAGTCCGAGCGTACGGACCCGCTTCAGCGGGTAGACAGTGATGAGCCGCACGGCGAGGCTTCTAGCCATCGCACCGTGCCGCTTGACCTCGACCGCGCCGCCCCCACCTCGTCGGAGCGCCGACGGAGGAGACCTGGCGTCGAGGTCATCATGGGCAAGGGTCCCCCGACCTGAGGAGGAGGAGGAGGAGGAGGAGGAGGAGGACGAGGGGGACGGGGAGGAAGAGGAGGAGGAGGAGGAGGAGGACCAGGAAGAAAAGGAGGAGGAGGCACCGACCCTTGCTGGCCCCATCCTGGGCCCAGGATGGCCCTGGCCCAGACTGGTGATAGCTTGTAGCGTCTCCGATGTCCAGAAGGACCAGCCCATGCCGTAGACCTTCACGGCCAGCTCCAGGGTGAACACGGCGCAGAAGCAGGCCTCGATCTCCAGGGTCCTGTGGAGTTGCTGCCGGGTGTGCGCCTCGTGCTCCACCTGGTAGCCCAGGAAGATCGAGTTGGCCATGATCAGTAGCATGACGCACACCTCGTACCTAAGGGGGGGAAGTGCACCCTCGGGACAGAACCTGGATCCGCAATCGCAGGCTAGAGCCTCCTCCTCCTCCTCCGCCTCCTCCTACTCCTCCAACGTATCTGCATGGATCTCCTCCTCATCCACCTACTCCCTACTCTTGTCCCCCTCTCGTGTCCCACTTCTCGTTTCCCACTGGTGCGTCCCGTGCCCCTTCTCTTCTTTCTACTCTTACTCCTCTCATCCATCACCGGCTTCCTCCAATTCACTTCCTCTTCCGCGTCCTCCCCCTCTTTGCATATCTCCCTTCTCCAGAGTCCAGAAGTACCTCGTACTGCTCACCAACTTCTTCACTTGCAATTGCCTCAAGGACGAGCCAGTGTCAAATCGGGAGAGGCACTTCCGGACTGGCCATGGAATACTCGACGGAATCCGCCACCGTGCCGCAAGGCAATGAGTGGAATGTCTTCAAGTGCCGCCGAGCTTTCTGCACTGAGAATGGCAAGTGCTCTTTCAGGGCCCCAGACCCCAAATCCGCGGAATTCTCTGGCGCTCCTGGGCGCTGCCAGGACTTCCGTTGTGACTCTTCTGGAGTCGGGAGCGCGGCTTGGAGTCCACACCTCCCGCGTGGCCTAGGATGGCTCCAAGCGGTCGTCCTGAGGCCCTCTTGGGAGAACTATAATCACCGCGGTGGTTGCTAAGTGGGTTGGGGGGTTATATATGGATGCTGGGGTGGATTCTATCTGGCATGACCTAGCTTGCAAGTGGGCTACACATGCCCTGAATTGCTCGGGTGGTTTCGATAAGTCCGCATACTTAGCCCACATCGTAAGTCTCATAACAAGGCACTTCTAACCCACTTGCAAGCTATGTCGGACTACATATCCGCCACCGTGCCCGCACGGATCGAGCATGTCAGAATGTTCGTCTGCTGCCTGGGAGGTTCTGTAAAGTTTCAGCGACCCCCCCCTTGACTTACTCGCGCCCAACAAAAACACGCCCCTTCCGAAAGTGCTTTGTGGCGGTCTGTTCGGCCTCCAGACGACCAAAGTGGCCTCCAAGACGGCTTCCAAGACAACCAAGATGGCAACAAAACGGCTCATGATGGTCCAAGGCAGCCCAAGAGCCTCTCAAGAGAGCCTCAAGACGGCTCAAGATGGCCCAGAAAGGCCTCAAGACGGCCTGGAGGCTTCCAAGACGGCATGCGAAAGCTCCACGCGGCCTCGATGGAGGCCCCGAGGGCGCCAACGCCATGGAGTTGCCTCGGTCGTGTGAAGGATTGTGAGCTTCTCACCTGTTCGGGCCCCCGGCCACCCAAGAGGGCCCAAGAAGCCTCCAGGAGATAGCTCCGAGACAGCCAAAGAGGGCTCCAAGAGGACCCCGAGTCGGCCCAGGAGGACCCAGAGATCGCCCAAGGCTCTCCCAAAGAGGGTCCCAAGACGGCCCTGAAGCGCCCCAAGAGAGCACCAGCACGGCCTAGAGAGGCCTCCTGGGCTGCCTTGGGTGGCCAGAAACCCTAACATGCCAGAAGGTCAAACATTTTCCAACACCAAGGGGCAAACCAATGGTCAGTGCATCTTCGGGGGCTCTCATGGAGGGCCTCTTGGAGACCTCTTGGGCTGCTTCTTGGGGGGCCTCCTCGATCTGTCTCGAGGCCTTACGTATTGGGGGCCTCATGGCCTTGGGGACGGCTTTCGAGAGGCAGCCGGGGGGTCGCCAAGATGGCCCCAAACGGCTCAGGAGGCCCTGACGACAGCCTCAAGACATATTAAGAGGTCCCCACGTCGGCCCACGAGAGCTCCAAGAGGTCCTCCTGGAGAGCCCCAGGAGGCCCCAAACCTGTGATGTCCCGTAGGTCGTTGACCGGGGTTGAGGTGCTTGCCTGTTCGGGCTCCCGGTCGCCCAAGACGGCCCAAGAAGACTCCAAGAGGCCCCAACGATAGCTCCAAGACAACCCAAGAGACCCCCAAGAGGGCCTGAAGTCGGCCCAGAAGGGCCCAAAGATCGCCCAAGGCGCTCCGCAGAGGGCCCAAAACGGCCGTGAGCCGCTCCAAGAGGGCACCAACGGCCTAGAGAGGCCCCCAAGGCGGCCTCCATAGGCGTCAGACGGGCCAAGAGTCCCCTGAGACGGCCTGAGAGGCCCCAAGAGGCCCAAAGAGGCCCCAAGAGGCTCGAGGCTCCCAAGAAGCTGCCAGGAAGCTGCCAGGAGGCCCCCAGGAAGCCCCAAGAAGGCCCCAAGAAGTCTTTTCCTCCTTATCCTCAATTTCTCCCTCTCCTCCTCCTGCTCCTCCTCCCCCTCCTCCTCCTCCACCTCCTCCTCCTCTTCCCCTTCCGACACCTCCTCTTCGACCACCTCCTCCTCCTCCTCCTCCTCCTCCTTGTCCTCCTCCTCTTCCCCCTCCTCCCGACCGCGCGGACGAAGACGAGGTCGGGATCACGACTCGCTCCAATGCAGACTGCTCGTTGAAAATGCGCTGCTCCTGCTCTCAGCCTCCTACCTGCTGCGCTGTTGCACAGGCGCGATGGCGGGGTTGCCGCAGGCAGCTGGATAACCCACCTTGGCATCCACGCATCCCCCTACCCACCTATAGCAACTCCCTCGGTGATCCAAGTAGGCTGGCGCGGAAGCCCAAGAGGCAGTGAAGAGGACAACGTCACTTAAAAGCCGCACGCTTTCGCATGGGACTTGCAGGCTCGCCCGTTCGGTGTGAAGGGCGTCCACAGCGGCCAAGGGGCCCCTAAAGAGAGCCCTAGCAATGCCCCCAAGAGGGGCTCGGGAGGCCCCCTTAAGAAGAGGCCATCGAGAGGGGGAGCTCGAAGGGGCTTCGGGACCCCCCCGCCCCAAGACGGCCCCCGAGACCGCCCCCAGGGGCCCCCGAGTTCCCCAGGGAGGCCCCGAGGAGCTCCTCCAGATGCCCCCTGTGAGGCCCTGCGAACGGCCACCGAAAGGCACCCCCAAGAGGACTCCAAGAGGCCTTCCAAGAATCCCCAAGAGGCCTCTGACGAGGAGGAGGAGGCGGAGGAGGAGGAGGAGGAGGAGGAGGCGGAGGAGGAGGAGGAGGGGGGGGGCAGGACTCCGACGGGCCTCCTGTCCGCGACTCCAGCACCGTGGCGGCATGAGCCGAAGGCAACTGGATCCGTCGCCCCCGTAGTCCCCAGGAGGGTTGCCTGGCGCGCCAGATTTGGTCAGGCCAACTCCTCGGCCTCTCCAGCAAAGTCCCCCTTGCTCTCGGTCCGTGCTGCGTGCCCCGCGCCGAGCCCGGAAGACTACTCAGAACTACGCAGGGCCCGACCCTCGAAAAGATGGATAGGCCTCCGCTGGCATCCAAAACGCCCCCAGTCGGCTCAAGACGGTCGCAGATGGCTCCCAAGATGGACGAATTGGTCTGAAGAGGCTCCGAAGGTCGCCAGACATGCCTCCAAGACAGCTCGAGGTGGCATCAAGACTTCCGAAGACTTCGAGACGGCCGACGGGGTCTCAACTGCGCCCGAGGAGGCCTCCAGCAGGACCTCCATATGCCTCGAAGAGACACACATCAATGATGTTCGCGTTCTCGCCTTTCCTGCTCCCGACAGCTGAAGACGGCCCACGACATTGGCCCCGCGACAGCGCGCTTCCAAGAGGAGCCTAAGGCAGCCCAAGAGAGCCTCCAGATGCCTGAAGAGGCCCCGACGACGGCCCAAGGCAGCCCCAAGGCAGCCCAGTGATGCCCCACGACGGCCATCGGTGGCCTCAAGACGGCCCCCGAAATGGAGCAGAGAGGCTCTCGAGACGGCAGCCGAGGGCGCCGGACGGGCCAAGAGCGCCCTGGAACGCCCAAGATGGCTCACAAGAGCCCGAGGGAGGCCCAAAGGGCATGATTCAGGAGGGAAAGAAACTCACAGACACAACCAATCGTCGATCCCCCTGAACATATGGGAAAAGATGGGAAGTGGGGGGAGTACTGGTAGGTAACATAGAACGGGTACCCCTACATATGGCCTCTTTGGCAGAATCCAGCATGCCGTTGGCAGCGGCATCCTCAACTGACCAACGCCGCCGCCGCCAACGCCAGCCGCCAGATGCAAAGAGGCGCTGGCAGTGTTCGCCCAGTCGCCCCTGGCGAAGCTAACGCGCCCATCGCCTTCGACTTCGCAAACACTTCAACGATGGTCATTGCGTGAATTCCCAAGGGTTTTGCCTTCTTGCTGCGTTGCCACTGCCATGTTTTAGTTGTGTTCCTGCGCGTGGCCCCGCCGATGCAGTGGCCATTGGTGGCGCAACGGCTGCGACACGCAACGTTTCTTCACACGCCCTTGAATACTTGGACTGGCAGGCCGCGAGTCTCCGCGGGGGTCAACGCTGTCCAAGGTCATCTCAATATAACTCCCGACGGTACGTGGGATGACCCACGGTGGTGGCGAAATGCAGCATGGGCCTGAGAAATCTCGACCTGCATATGAAGTGGCCCCTGGGCCGCCTCCAAGGAAACGGATAATCATTGCGTGACGATCGCACTCATGTCCTGGAGGTTTTCTACGAACCTCTCGGATCGCAGCACGCCCGGCACGGGCCGATACGGCCGCTGGAGCCTTTCAAGCTCCCCAGGATCCTCCTGAGGTCGGCCCGAGAGCCCAGACAAGGGCCGACGAGAAGGTCCAAAGTTTTATGGCTCGAAAACCAAATGAGGCAGCTTTGCTGGGGGGCCCCCTTCGCAGCCGCGGGTTGCATCTGGAGCGGCCCCTAAAAGCCCGAAGTGCGGAAAACATGAAATCGAATGGGCCCCGAAGCCGCCTAAACCGCCTCGAGAGAGCCCCGATATGTTTCCAACAAGCGTCCACAGCGAATACAAAGAAGCAGTACTCACTGCATTATGGGGCACTGTCGGGGTGGTCCCCGATTCGGCTTGACAGAACTGGCTAAAGTTGCTCCATGAGTGCACACTTACCACGTTGAATAACCCCACATCCCAGTAGCCCTTCAAGGCGTGGGTGGTATAAGGAGCTCGTCCTGCTAAATCAGTTTTCTTTCCCCCCAGGGAGGGCCCCCCCCTACCCCCTACCCCCTGCCCCCTCCCCCCGGGTCTGGACGGGGCGCCCCGTGAGCGGTCCGCGCGTCCAAGATGGCCCAAGGTCGCTCCAAGAGGGCTCCAGAGAGCTCCACATGGCCACCAAGATCGCGCAGGAGAGCCCAAGATAGTTCAATATAGCTTTCAACACGCCTCCACAAACTCCGAAGACCGCCTCAGGGCGGCTCCACGTGCCCTCCGGGCCCGCCCCCAAGAAGCCCCAGAGAAATCAAAAGCACGTTCTTCCATGTGTTTTGCATTCTCGCCTTCTCGCGTCCGACGGGCTCTCGAAGCCTCAATATGGATCCAAAAGGGGGGCCCAGGAGAGCACCAATGCGGCCCCCAAAGCGCCCGAGACCGCCCCAAGAGCGGCCCACGAGGGCTCCAGGAGGCTCACATTCGGGCCCCGACGGGGGGACCTTGTTAGGGGCCCCCCTTTCTTTGATCGATGGCCCCAAGAGGGCCCTCAAGGCTTCCGAAAGGGCCCCAAGAAGAGCCCCAAAAGCTCCCCCAAAAGGCCCCAAGAGAGCCCCAGGAGGGCCCAAGAGGCCTCCAAGAGGGCTATTCCCCATGAGCTGGCCGAGGACTCCCCGCTCGTCTTGAACGGGGCCCCTTCCCTTTCCCCCTCTCTTTACCCTCTTCCTCCTTGCTCGGCTAGCTCCTGCTCAGGCAGATAGATTGCCAAGGCGCGTCTACTTGTTATTTCCCTTCCTTAATCCCTCTCAATCTCTACGGCCGGTTCAAACTTCCACGGGTATTCGTGCCTAGTTGGCCAGCTTACAGCCGCCTTTTCAGTTGACACCATTGTTTTTGTTGTCAGCTGCTCCCTATCCCCCTCTATTTCCTCTCCTGGCCCAGAATCTCGGCTGGCACCTTAGCCTCCTCCTCGCAGAGTGGGTCAAAGAGGCCCAGTAGACGAGTGCCCTGACTTATTCGCTGCCCGCCGCCTGCCACTTGCTTTGTGACGGAAGCCATGCGTTCGCGCAACCTCAGCTGAGTCCAAAGAAACCTCCTCCTCCTCCTCATCCTCCTCCTCCTCCTCGTCATCATCATCATCATCCCCCCCTTCCTCCATCTCATCCCCCTCCGCTCCCCCTGGGGGTTTGCGGGGATTCCTGGGGGCCTCCAGAGGCCCAGCGGGGCCAGAAACGTATTTTTCAGTAACAAAAAAAAGCGACCCTCGAACGTCGAATCTAGAATCTCGACCCTCGATCCGTCTTCGTCCTCCTCCTCCTCCTCATCCTCCTCATCCCCCCCCTCATCATCATCCTTCGGGCTTTGGGTAGCTACGTCGCCCGCGCCATCTGAGCGCCTGCTTGGGGCATGTTGGACGGAATGCTTTCTCTCCCAATCGCCGACGGCAACGAACAGCAACACATGCAAGATAACTTCAACTTATCCAGTGCTCTCACATGAAAGGAGGCGGAAGAGCGGGGGCGAGAGGATGGAAGGGGGAGGAGGATGAGAAGGAGGCGGAGGAGGAGGAGGGGGAGGAGGAGGAGGGGGAGGACGAGGAGGAGGAGCAGGAGCAGGAGGAGGAGGAAGAGGAGGAGAAAGAGGAATAGGAAGAAGAGGGGGAGGGGGAGGAAGAGGAGGAGAGGCATAAGATGACGGCGATCTCTGTGCATTCGCCACGGCACGTTGTCCGACATCCAGGTCGAGTTCGCATTGTGCGCGTTGGGATCAAACCCAGGCGCTCGAGAGGACAACGTATTCATCGCAGCGCTCCCGTTTGATATTGTATCCATCGCCTCACAAAGCTCTGCGATAATATATATATATATGAATTATGAGGGGTGCCCTATCCCTTCTTCGATTGGTTCCCTCCAGGATATTCCGAAGAAGGCCGGCGCGGCCACGGGGGGCCTCAAGAATCCGAAAACAAGCCAAATATGTGCACGGGGGCACAGTTTTGTGCATCAAAGAAAAAGCCGGTCTCAAGTAACTTTTCTCGCCTCGCAAGAGATCCCCGCGTGCCCCCCAAAGGTCTCCGCGAGCTCCCCGAAGGTCTGAGCGTTCACTGGCGATGGCCTTTTGCTGCCACTTGTGTTTCCCCGCCCCGTTGCACCGACGGCCATTTTTCCTGGCTCCGACGGCGGGGGCGCGCGAAGAATAAGATCAAATAAAAAAAAGGTGTGCGCGCACGAAGAACTGCCTCCATCCGCGCATGCACAGCCAGCCGCACGCCTCGATGCGCGCCCGCGCGCGAGCCCGACGCCCTGCAAGCCCAATATCCGAGCGTGACCACGCGGGGACTGGAACCCTGAGTCGGGACAGAATGGCGATCCCCGCAGCGATGTTTTCACGGTCGGAAGCACGCAATGCTTTCTCGAGCCTCCGTGCAGCGGGCAACTCCCCAGGACCCCAATCACCAAGGGAAGCTACGCACTCTCAGTGCCTTACATGCAAATTAAGCCCCTGCCGCCGCCGCAGCCGCGCCCCCGTCTACTGGGACGCCCGCGTCGGCGGCGAAAAGGCCCGCCACCGGACACGAGTCGATGTCCAAGTGCAACATGCCCAGGACCTCCTCCCACGTCCACTGCGCGCACAGCATGCGCGCTGCGTCGTGGCCCCATACCGACCAAGAGAAAGACTTCGACGCCCGACGGCCATTGCTGACGTACGTCGCCTGCCAACGGGCGTTCGGCGGGTCGCGATAGATGCGCGCCGGGGCAGGCACGGAGGTTGCGGCCTCCTGCTTCGCCACCTCTCCCCCCACCCACTTCTTCGCCACATGGCCGCCCATCTCGTTTTTCATGGCCTTCAGCTTCGCCTTGGCTGCAGTAGTCAGGGTGTCATGCTTAAACTTGGCCCACTCCTTTTTTGTACTCCTCCTGCTCGGAACGGTTGCCCTTCAACTGCTCCTGCGCCTCCTCAAACCTCCCGGTCCTTGTCGTTCAGCAGGTCGGTGGCCCCGTCGGCGACGAGCAGGTCCTGCAAGCTGTCGTGGTACTTGAAACGCTGGCTGAGGTAGTCGGCGACTTGCGAGTCCGTTGCCTTCGGCAGAGTATCCTGGATAAGAGCCTGCGACAGGAAACGTGATCCGACGTCAACCCTGACTGCGATCGCGGTTGCCTGTGCGTTCGGGCTATGGTTGCTGGCTCCTCGCTCGCGGGCGCAACCCGCTTGCTCCCCGACGCGCCACCGTTTCGATGTACGTCGTTGCCGAGGCCTAGAAGGCCAGGAGGGTCGGGGAAGGAGGGGGGGCGGAGGGAGGAAGAGGAGGGCGAAGAGCGGTTCCAACGGAGGGACGAAAGGGCCAGGGAGCGGGGTCGGGAGCAGGAAGGTACGCGAAGGGGATCGAAGCGAGGAGGAATGAGGGAGGAACAAAGGTGCAATGAGAGAGGGGGAAAAAGAGGAGGGAGGGAAAGGGAGGGGGAGGGAGGGGGAGGCAGGGGGGAGCGGGGGAGAGAGAAAGAGCGAAGGAGCGAAAGGAGGGAGAGAGAAAGAGAGAGAGAGAGAGAGAGAGAGAGAGAGAGAGAAACAAACAAAACGCGAGAGGAAGAGACAGAGAGAGAGAGAGAGAAAATGGTAGGTATATATACACATATATCCAAATAGGGAGACATGGAGAGCACAGGCAGGCAGAGATAGAAAAAGGAAACGTAGAGGGATACCGAACAAATAGATAGAGACAGAAGGGGAGAGAGTGAGAGATATAGGTGGAGGGAGAGGGATGATGAGGAACGATAGGACAAGATATGTTGGGAGAAATAAGCGGCGAAGGACGGTATCCCTGAATTGTGCCATGCGTTTAATTGGTTTGCATTTCCCCACTGCGTGGCAACCGCGACCGACATCAGGGATAGTCGAACCGATGCCCCGTCCGAGATCCTTGCACATGTCCAAAATCCCAGGATTGGGCCCCACAGCAACGCCGAAGTATTTGCACATGAGGGCCAGTATAGACTTGTGGACGTCAAAGAAAGCGTGCATGGCCGCCTGCTGCATCAGCTTCCTCGGCGGGGCGTCGGGGGCAGCAACGATGCGGCACTCGTTCTGGATGGCAGCCTTCCCACCTGGCTCTTTCAACACCTGGTGCAAGGGGGATCTCCAAGAGAAGGGCAAGCTTCCCATTGAGCCGGGTCGTCGATGGTGCGCCAGGCTGGCTGGCCATCTAACTTGGGAAACATCGACGCTATCGACGCCCCTTTCATCCTTACCTCGGCAAGCCATCCCCGAAAAGCAACGCCTCCGACATCACCGAGGCTGAACAACCACTGCGCTGAACCCACTTTGCGAAGGGCAAGGTTCTTGGCACGGGCCAGCTGCGAAAAGAAGGACGTCTTGGGGAAGGCGTAGTTCTTCCTCTCCTGGGCCTGCTCCATCAAGAACACGTCCGCATAGACGATCGCCATGTTAGGCGAAGTGGTTGAAAACAATGGCGTCTTTTGCTGAATGCTCACTATCTGGTTGAATGCTGCCGGTACTTCGGCGTAGTCGGGTTTGTACACGTTGGCTGGGAGCTGGCCGGCATCTCCCGCTGGCACGGGGATATGTTGCCAAGCTGCCTCGTCCAGCCCGTACAATCGACTCGCGACCTTGTTGTCCAGGAGGTGCTGGAACAACTTCGATGCAGGGGTCTGGGTCGGGTTCGGGCGGGGTTTCTCCTGCCCCCGCCCTGCGCCAATGAGATTTTCCGCGACTCTGCTCTGCAATATACCACTCAGGCGTTTCTTGGCCACGTCCGCCAAAGCGTCGTTGGGCTTCCAACCGTTGGACTCCAAGACTGCGATTAATTGTTTCGTCGGCGTGAGGTTGAATATGGAACGACTGCTGGCGCCTTTCCAGAACTTCTTTGTTCTTTGTTGCACGTCCCCCCAGGCCTCATATTGCGAGCGGAGCTTCGCGGCAGCCTTATCCCGGATATCCTGGGAGCCATGGTAGAAAAGAGCTTGCTGCCCCGTCCACCCCTCTGTCAGATACGACAGCCGCCTGTCGCGAGCACCGATCAATTCGATCAAGAACTTGGCGCACAGTTCCGCGACGTCGTCATTCTCGATGACGCACGGGTGGTCGATCGGCAACGCGAGCGACGAGGGGAAGAAGCTGACGTCCATTCCGCAATGTTCTAAGAGGCTATCGTCGCCCAGCAGTTTGAAGGCCGAACGCAGGGGCTGCCAGATTGCCCCCGATACCTGGGAGGCACGAATTGTGACACACTGCGCCGGCACAGATAAATCTCTGACAAGACCTTCCAACATCCACGGCGTTTGATGGCAACGCACTGGGCACGCGCACGCGCACGGCACGCGCACGGCACCGCTCGCGCACGGCACGGCACGGCACGCGGCACGCGGCACGGCGCAGGAGGAGGAGGAGGAGGAGGAGGAGGAGCAGGAGGACGAGAAGGAGGAGGAGGAGGAGGAGGAGGAGGAGGAGGGGGGAGGGAAGAGGGAGGAGGGAGGAGGGAGGGGGAAAGAGGGAGGGGGAAGAGGCGGACATCAGTTTTTTTGGTGGCGAAACGCGAGGACTCCTCGCAGCATCCGCGCCTGACAATGCAAACTGCAAAACTTTCTAGGGCAACCGCAAGCCAAAAAGTGCACTCAAATTACGGTATTTTATATGTTTTCCACCGCAATACAAATGGCTCAGGCGGCCGCGCTGAGACGATAAGTGATTGAACGTATATCATAACGCTCGCTGCGCTGCCCCAAAAAAAAAGCGAGCGAGGGGGCGAAGACCAGACCAGACCAACCCAACCCAGACCACCCCAGCACGGACCAACCCAGCCCCAAATCAACCACACCAGACAAGACCAGACGAGACAACACAAGACCGACCCAGCCCTGCCAAACCCACAGCAGACCAGACCGGCCCAGACCAAACCAAACCAACCCAGCCAGGATCAGACAATATCAAACCAACCCAACCCAGCCCACGCGAGACCAGACCAGCCCAGACCAGCCCAGCCCAGCCCAGACCAGTCCGGAGCAGAGCAGACCGGGCCAGACCAGACGAGACCAGACAAGCCCAGACCAAACCAAACTAGCCCAGGACCAGACCAGACGAGGACAGCCCAGCCCAGACCAGCCCAAAACAGCCCAGCGCAACGCACCCCAGGCCAGACCAGACGCACACGCGGCGCGGCGCGCGGCACGGCGCAGGAGGAGGAGGAAGAGGAGGAGGAGGAGGAGGAGGAGGAGGAGGAGGAGGGGAAGGAGGAGGAGGAGGAGGAGGAGGAGGAGGAGGAGGAGGAGGAGGAGGAGGGGGGAGGGGGGGGGGAAGAGGGAAGAGGGAGGGAGAAAGAGGAAGGAGGGAGAGGCGGACAATTTTTTGCGGCGACCCGCTAAGGCTCCTCGCAGTATCCGCACCTGACTTTTCACACGGCGCAAATCTCTAGGGCAACCGCAAGCCAAAAAGTGCACTGACAAATACGGGTTTAAGCTGTTTTTCTAACAACACACAAATGGCCCAGGCGGCCGCGCCGAAACCAAAAGTGCTTCAAACTGTAGCAAAACGCTACCTGCGCTGCCCACAAGGCGAGCGAGGGGGCGAATACTAAACCAAACCAGACCAACCCAACCCAGCCCAACCCAGACCAACCCAGCACGGACCAACCCAGCCCCAAACCAACTACACCAGACAAGACCAGACGAGAAACAACATGACCGACCCAGCCCAGCCCACAGCAGACCAGACCAGCCCAGACCAGACCAAACCAACCCAGCCCAGCCAGGACCAGACAAAACCAAACCAACCCAGCCCAGCCCGCACGAGACCAGACCAGCCCGGACAAGCCCAGCCCAACCCAGAGCAGAGCAGACCGGAACAGACCCAGAAGAGACCAGACCAGCCCGGCCCAAGCCAAACCAGCCCAGGACCGGACCAGACCAGAACAGCCCAGCCCAGACCAGACCAAAACAGCCCAGCGCAGCGCACCCCAGACCAGACCAGACGCACACGCGGCGCGGCGCGCGGCGCGGTGCAGGAGGAGGAGGAGGAGGAGGAGGAGGAAGGAGGAGGAAGGAGGAGGGAGGAGGGAGGAGGGAGGAGCGAAGAGGGAGGAGAGAGCAGCGAGAGGCGGACATGGTTCTTTTTGGTGGCGAAACGCCAAGGCTCCTCGCAGCATCCGCACCTGACAATGCAAACTGCACAAATCTCTAGGGCAACCGCCAGCCGAAAAGTGCACTGAAAATTACGGGTATTATATATTTTGCTGACAACACAGAATGGCCCAAGCGGCCGCGCCGAGACCAGAAGTAATTGAAACTATCGCAAAACGCTCACAGGAGACTACCAACAATTGCATCCCGCATGGTGTCAGTCCACTGTCTCTCCCAAAGATTCAGAGACAACGACGTGCGGCCTACAACCGTTAACGGGCTCACGTGGCCGCCTGCGTACGTGGTGGCCGTCGTCTGTGGTGGTGGCGCCCATAGCCAGGACCCGTATGGGATGAAAGTCAGCGGGCTGGCAATGTTCACGTTATGCTGCCGCGCCGCGTCCGCGACAGCGTCCGTAGTCACCATCCATTCGGCCCAAGACAGCGGCTTTACGCCCGTGCCAGACCCCAGCGCCGGGAAGGAGGGCGTGGCGGCGCCAGCCCTCCGCCCGGCGACTTTAGACAGCAACGCGTCCAGGTCCACCACGGCTGCGGCTTGCCTCCCAGCCGAACCAGCCGGGCCGGGCCGGGCCGAGCCGGCGCGCCGGGCCGGCCGACCGGACGTCGGCGGCGGCAGCGACGAGCCCGCGGCGACGGTGGCAGACGAGGCGGCGGCGGCGACGATAACGGCGGCGCGACGACGACGACGACGACGACGACGACGACGACGACGACACCGAGGACGAGGATAAGGCAGACGCTCAAACAGAAGCCCAAGGCTCGTTCACAAAAGGAAACTCCTATCGCGACGCTTCTCGCTTGCAGATAACGAAAGGAATAAGGGGGATCGTGTATATGATGGGAATATGCGCCACCCGAAGGTTCCCTGGCTGCCATCCGTCCTGATCGTCATCGGCGTCGGTTTTTCTACATACTCTTCGCAGGGCTGTCGGGGCGACAAGGCATCGCCTCGACCCCGCCCTCGATTCCCTCCCCCCCGCCCCCCATCCTGCCCTTTACCTCCGCCCTTCCTCTCGGCATGCGCGAGGCCCAACGCCAAAATGTGACAAGAGACCAGGTTTTCCCGCAGCCGCGCGGCGAAAAAAAAAGCCGGTCTTGCGTGAGATTTCCGGTCGCGCGCGCGGGTGCGCCAACGCGCGCCCGCGTTAGGTTGCGTTGGTTGGTTGCTTGGTTGGTCTGGGCGGTTTGGTTGACTTTATTCGTCTGGTTGGTTCGAGAAGTGCGGTTGGCATGATCGGTTGGTTGGGTTTTTTTGTTGGGCATGGTAGCTGCGGTTTGTCAGTTTCTGACATTTTTCATCGCGCCATCGGTGCGCGGGCTGCCTTCACGCAAGGGCCCACGTCGCACGGCGCGCCGCGCATTCTGGAAAGCTCGGAGGAGAGGCCACCTCAGTGGAAAGGGGAAGACGAGGAGGAGGGCGGCGAGGGGTGGAGGAGCGGCCAGGCGAGAAAGGAGGGCGCCGCAAAAGGCACCGAATGCTGAAACGCAAGACGAAGTTGGTTCTCGAGCCCCTGCGGCAGAGCGGAAGACGATTGAACACCTCAGGAATACTTGTTTCAAGGATAACGGGCCCAAGATATCCGACGGAGAGTCGGTAGTGCCAGACACCGCAGGCCAGGGGCTCGAGCGCCTACTGGGGGGACCCCCCGTCCCTCGCGACCTATCGCCCCTCGCAGGACGTCGACGCATCAAAACTGGGCGGCCCGCCACGCGTCTGCAAGCGCGAGCTCCACTCGCACTCAGGGCGACACCAGGAACGCACTGCTGCGCATGGGCTTTACAAAAACGCGACCCGCGAAGCCGACGTGGCCTCTCGGGACGCACAAGCCCTCATGCTACGCGGCACGCCCAGCGGCCCCCCGCTGAGAGCTCGACTCGAGCTCTCAGCGGGCGCGCACTGACAAGGTGATCGCCTACTCCCTCGCGGGGCGTCCTGGGGGGGGCGGGGGCGCATCGCCCGAGCCCGCTGCTGCGCCCGCCGGGGCTGCCGCGGCCGCCGGGGCAGCGTCTGCCGCGGCTGGCGGGGGGAGGAACTGGATGTTGGCGCGCGCCACCGACGCGGCGAACCTCTCGGTGGCGGTGTGGGAGAGCCAGCCCTGCACCGCGGCCTCCTCGAACAACTCAGCGAGGGGCACCGTGGTTCTGCTGTATTTCAGAACTGCAGAGAGCTCACTCCACGGCTCCTCGATGCGCCACTCCGTGCCAACAGGGATGGCGTTGTCAATGGTTGCCTTCGTGCCCGACGGGCGGTGCTCGACCTCGGTCTTCTCTTGCCCGTCATCTTCTGGTAGCAGTTTGAATATTGAGCTGAGGGACCAGTTCACCTGCCACTCCCTCTTGCTGTTCAACTCCACCACGACGTGCGCCAGTCTGGCGCCAGCAAGGCCGTAGGCGTCTGTCAAGGATGCCTTGAACACGGGCCGCCGCTTCCCATGCTGGGGCCATTTCGTCCCTGGCTTCATCCCGTGTCCCATGTACAGTAATTCTCGCAGGCTGGACGACCCTGGTTTTCTGTTCTTGTCGGCCTTCTCAATCTGAGTCACAACCTCCTCAGTGAATGTCCCTGGCACGGTGTCCTTAAGGTACATCCGGATGAAGTCCTTCGGCGCGCTGGACAGGTAGTGGTACTGGTCGCTGAAGGGCGGGGGCTCCTGACCCTCACCCTCGTCCACGTCCATGGGCTCTTGGGGCGCGGCCCTTGGAACCATCTCGTCTGAGAAGACCTTGACCTTCGCGTACAAAATCTTCCCAGGATTCTGCAAGAAGTGGTTTACAATGTCGGTGACAGCCTGTTGCAGAACCGAGTCGTTCAATGGCTCCAACATTTCAGCCAGACTGGGTTCCGGGCGCCTTTTGCGCGATCCATGCGGCGATGGAGAGTTCGCGGGCATCGCTGCCACCAGAAAGCTCACAAGCAAAGTGTAAATCGACGCTGGACGGGCCAAAAACAGCTGTGGACTGGTTGGTGGTGAGCGGCGCGTTGTGCCTCATATTAGCGGGAACGCCCAAGGGCGCCCATCAGCTTCGCCTTGGCTGCAGTAGTCAGGGTGTCATGTTTAAACTTGGCCCACTCCTTTTTGTACTCCTCCTACTCGGGACCGGGTCCTCCTGGGCCCACTCCTTTGTGTCCTCCTTGGCCCACTCTTTTTTGGGTCTGGGCGGGTCGCCCCCCGAGAGGCCATAGAGGCCAAGAGGCCAAGATGCCGCCGAGAGTGCCCAATATAGCCCAGGATCGCCACCGAGATGGCATGAAGCACCCCGCGGTGGGCCCAGATGGCCTCCGAGATGCCTCCCAGATGCCCCGAGATGGCTGCAAGACGGCTCCAAGCCTCAATGGCCTTCTTGGGACCTTCTTGGGGCCCCCATTGGGCCCCTCTTGGGACCCTGTTAAACCCTCTTGGGGCCATCCTGGGCCCCTCGTGGAGCCCCTGTGGTACCCACATGAAGCTCCAAGAGCCCAAGAGGGCTCGTCCCAAAAAGGCCCCAAAGATGCGCAACGGCCGTTGCACATCCGTGGGATCGTCTAGGGCCCCGCTTCGGGGCCCTCGTGGGCCCCTCCTGGAGCCTTCTGGGGCCATCTTGAGCCCCTCTCGGGACCTTCTTGGGGCTCTCTCTGCTGCGCTGGATGTTGCTACACTGCATGATCCGACACTTCCCTGATCAAGACAACTCGCCTAGGCATGTTCTCTGGATAGGCTGGTGGGGATACGCGAAACGCCAACCATTTGTTTGCGGTTCAAGCTTTTCGACTGCACAATTGGACAGCTGTTGGCCCAAGATGGCTTCACGATGGCCCCAGAAGCTTTGAGGTAGCCTCCAAGAAAACGCAAAATATCCATGTTGGTTCAGTGCTCATTGTGGCGCCCAAGATACCTCAAGCAGGCCACAAGATGGGTCCAAGACAGCTCGAAATGGCCAAATCATTCAACACATGACCGTTGCATTCCGGCAGGTCTGCTTCCGACAATGTTCGTGCCTTTAAGATTGTTCCGCAGCGGCAACAAAAATCCCCAAGAGGTGCTCCAGATGGCTCCACGTCGGCCTAGAATGCGTCCAAGATCCCCCCCCAAAAGCGAACCAACAGGGCTACAAGAGGCGAGCTTTCGGGTCCCGCATGGGAAGCCCTCGTGAAGAAACCCCCGCTTCCTCCATAAAGAGCCTCCTCGGATGACTCCCACAGGGACCGAGATGCGCCCAAGAGAACCCCAACAGGGCCTCAAATTGTACACAAGTGCCACAAGAGGGTTCCGAGATGGCCCGAAGAAACCTCCCCAAAGCTCCTGGAACAAAGAGTTCGCATCCGCAAACGCGTTTACGGCTGAGTCTTTGGCGTCGTCGCCGCCGTCGCCTCCTTCCTGTCCAATCCCCCTCCTCCTCCTCCTCCTCCTCCTCCTCCTCCTCCTCCTCCTCCTCCTCCTCCCACCAATTGTTTCGCCTCCTCCTCCTCCTCCTCCTCCTCCTCCTCCTCCTCCTCCTTCTCATCGACCTCCTCCTCCTGGTCATCCTTGTCCTGCTCCCCCTCCTCCTCCTCCACCTGTTCCTCGTCCCCCCACCCAACGGGAACGCGTCCCGGACAATCAGTGTGCCGTGCATCCTGGGGACGCGTAGGTTGAGTAAGATCGGGTCCCGTCAAACTCATTAACGTTACTTGTCCTCATCCTCATCAATGATCCCTCCTCGCTTCTCCTCCTACTGTTTCCCACGTGTCTCCTCCATCTCTTCCCCATCTCGCATCATCATTTTTGTCCTCCGCATCCGTTTTCTCCTCTTCACTCGATAGGGCCGCGACGGGAGACTAGGGTTCACTATTTTCAGGCTGATCCAGATCTTTGGTTTCACGGTTGCCCAATGTGTGGTGCCACTGCGTGGTGATACGTCCCTGATGAAGGCAACTCGCCTGGGCTTTATTTCTTGATGTGCCGGTGGTATACACGAAACGTCCATCATGTATCGTGTTCTTTCCTCGCGCGGCCTGGCCCTGCGAAAGGACGTCGATCCGTTGGAGGACGCGGAGAACACGGGCTTCGCAAGTTCCACCAGACCTCCTGGAATAGATAGTTGACGCGATGATGTATTCCATCCCCCTTTTTCCCCTTCGGGGAAAGGTTCGCCCCCTGCCCCGGCCCCTACCTGGGACCCTGCCCCCCGAGGGAATGGGGCATCCAAGACCGCCCTAGATGGCACGACGAAGAAGCTCAAGGTAAACGAAGATATCATCGAGGAATGAGCAACATTGTTGCCCGACGACGCAGATCTTGAATATCCCCAACTCGATTCGAAGGGCCTCCTATGTGTGCCCAACAAGCCCCATACATGGAAAAAACGCGGCTCAAGGAGGCCACAGCCCCCCGCGAAGATGTTTCAAATAAGCCCAACCGACAGCACACGAATGCATGTGTCAACCGTTGTTGGCGACTCGCCTCATCCCAGCCGACGGGGCCCCGGGGCCTCAAAATAATCCCGCCGGCCCTGGGCGACAGGCGGTCTAACGATGACTTTCTTTCCTCTCCCAAAGAAACCCCTCTTCCCTTCGGGGAGGGGTACCCTCCCCCTCCCCTCCTTGGGCTGTTTTTTTTGGGGGGTCGCGGGTCGTTAGAGGGCCCGTTTTCGCTCAAGATGGCTCCAAGAGGGCCTCCGATGCTCCAAGATGGCCTCCAAGATGGCTCAAGGTAGCGCAAGATCGCTCAAGATGACCTCCATCATGCCTCCAAGAGGCCTCAAGAGGGCTACAAGACGGTTCCTAGTGCTCTCGGAGACCCCTCAGGACCCCGAAGAGCCCCAAATCTTTCAAAACAAAAAGAAAATTGATGATTTGTGCCTTCTCGCCGTTTCTCTTCCGATGCGCTCTTGGGGCCTCAAGATGGCCCCAGGATGACCCAAGAAGGCCCCAAGAGGGGCCCAAGAGGCCCCCAAAACGGCCCCAAGAGCGCCCAAGAGCGCCCCAATAAGGCCCCAAGATGCGGTTTTGAGGGCCCCAGGGGGGGGATCCTAAGGGACCCCCCCCTTTGATCAATAGCCTCCAAGATGGCCCCAAGAGGCCCCACGAGTGCCCCAAGAGAGCCCCAAGAGGGCCCCAAGAGGGCCCCAAAACCCCCTCAAAAGAGCCCAAGAGGACCCCAGGACCCTCGAAAAGAACCCCAAGAGGGCTCCAGGAGGCGATTTGGGGCTCCTGAGGAGGGGGGGCGAAATCGAGGGCCCCTCCTCCTTTGACCGATGCTCCCCAAGATGGCCCCAAGAGGCCCTCCAGGGCCCCCGAGAAGCCCCCAAAAGCACTGGCAGCAACACCAGCAACAGCACCAACAGCAGCAGCAGCACCAGCAGCAACACCTGCACCAGCAGCACAAGCAGCAACACCAGCACCAGCACCAGCAGCACTAGCAGCAGCACCAGCAGCAGCACTAGCACCATCAGCAGCAGCACTAGCAGCAGCAGCAGCAGCAGCAGCAGCAGCAGCAGCAGCAGCAGCAGCAGCAGCAGCAGGAACAGCACCAGCAGCAGCACCAGCAGCAGCAGCACCAGCACCAGCAACAGCACCGCCAGCAGCAGGGCCCCCGAGAGGCTCCCAAGAGCACGGGCGGCAACACCAGCAACAGCACCAACAGAAGCAGCGGCACAAGCAGTAGCACCAGCACCAGCAGCAACAGTACTAGCAGCAGCACTAGCACCATCAGCAGCAGCAGCAGCAGCAGCACCACCACCACCAGCAGCATAACAACCAGCAGCAGCACCAGCAGCAGCACCACCAGCAGCAGCAGCACCAGCAGCAGCAGTACCAACAGTGGCGTCAACAACAGCAGCACCAGCCGCAGCACCAGCCACAGCACCAGCACCAGCAACAACAACATCAGCAGCGGAACCAGCAGCAGCACCACCACCACCACCAGCTGCTGGCTGAGAAAGGACACCAGCACCATCAGCAGCAGCACCAGCAGCAGCACCACCAGCAGCACCAGCAGTAGCAGCAGCAGCACCAACAGGAGTAGCACCAGCGGCAGCACCAGCAGCAGCCGCAGCAACACCAGCTCCAGCACTTGCACCAGCAACGCCAGCAGCATCACCACCAGCACCAGCAGCACCACCACCAGCACCAGCAGCACCAGCAGCAGCACAAGCAGCAGCAGCACCGGCAGCATCAGCGGCAGCAGCAGCACCAACAGCAGTAGCGCCAGCAGCAGCAGCATGAGCAGTAGCAGCAGTGGCACCAGCAGGAATGCACCAGCGGCAGCAACAGCAGCAGCAGCAACACCAGCAGCAGCAGCACCAGCAACACCAGCAGCACCACCACCAGCACCACCAGCAGCAGCACCAGCAGCAGCAGCAGCACCAGCACCAGCACCATCAGCAGCACCACCAGCAGCAGCACCAGCAGCAGCACCAGCAGCAGCAGCACCAGCACCACCAGCAACAGCAGCAGTGGCAGCAGCGGCACCAACAGCAGTAGCGCCAGCAGCAGCACCAGCAGCAGCAGCATCAGCAGCAGCACCACCATCTGCAGCACCAGCAGCACAGGAATGTAGAGAATGGAGAGACGAGGACGAGTACGAGGAGGAGGAGGATGTAAAGGATAATGAAAGAGGAGGAGGAGGAGGAGGAGGAGGAGGAGGAGGAGGAGAAGGAGGAGGAGAAGGAGGCGGAGGAGGCGAAGGAAGAGGAGAAGGAAGATGAGAAGGGGGAGGGAGAAATATGCTCCCAAATAGCCTCCCACAACCTCGTCCCGCTCCTCTCCTTGCCCGCGCTGTTTCACTATATGTGTCTGTTCTTGAAATTCCCGTCAGCTCTCATGGGCAAGGTTTCTGAATGGGCTGGTGGGGTTGCGCGAAGCGTGAAGAATTCCTATGTGCCCTAATATGGCCTCAAACCCAAGCCACGAATGCCCGAGAAAGACCCGAGCCCCCAAGAACACCCCGAACAAAAGAAATATCACCTCGAAGTTGCCCCGAAAAGACGGGCCTCCCTTTCCAAATGGGCGGTTCGACTGTGAGCGCCTTTTTTAGACTGATGGCCTCCACGACAAACCGAAATGCCTCCAAGAAAACCCCAACGGAGAGGCGAAAACGGCTCTTGAGGCCAGCGAGCCCCCAAGAAAACCCCAACGGAGAGGCGAAAACCCACCATAATAAATTTCCAGCGAGCCTCCGTAAGATTTTCCAGGGCCCCCAGAGACACCCAATTCCACCAGCTGGTATGTCTGCTTCATTGTCTGCTCTCGACTTCCTCTGCCCTAACAGCTCGCCCGGACATCGTTCGTGGGTGAAACCTGTGGGAACGCGCGTCGCGAGTAAGAAAGGGTAGTCATCAGAGTTCGGCGAGAGTTGGCTGGCCCCCGCATGCCAAAACCTCGGCGAGGACAAGGGAAAATGGAGAAGCGGAGGGAGGACAGATAGAGAGAGAAATGGGGGGAGAGAGAGAGAGAGAGAGACAGAGAGAGAGAGAGAAAGAGAGAGAGAGAGAGGGATAGGGGCAGGAGAAAGAAACCCACGCGGGCAATCAGGCAACCCTTCAAGCATATATAAGGAAGAATACGCGCACATCTAGACAGAAAGAAAAACTTAAAGAGCGAGAGAGATATAGAGAGAAATACAGACTGGAGGGCATCCAACGACCTGAGCGAGCGGGATGTGGAGAGAGATCGAGAGACATTTGGACAGGGGGCGCAGAGAGAGAGAGAGAGCGAGAGAGAGAAAGAGAGAGAGAGAAAGAGAGAGAGAGATGGAGAGAGAGAGAGAGAGAGAAAGAGAGAGAGAGAGAGAGAGAAAGAAACAAAAAACAAAAAAAACAACAAAAAAAAAAAAAAAAAATCACGCGCAAACCCTCTCGCGCGCTCGCACGCGCACGCGTGCGCGCGAAAGGCGCGACCGAAAGAAGAGGAATGGTATGAAGACGACGGGGGGGGCGGCGGACAGAACTTGGCGCGAAATATACGCAAGAGGGCAATTGTAGAGCGGACTGCGCGCAAGGGGACCTGGAGAACGAGCATTTCTGCGAAGACAATTCGGAACATTCTGTACGAAAAAAAACGATAACAAGAGATGGATACAGGCTGTCAGACGCAGAGAGACAGAGAGAGCGATAAAAAAACAGTGATAAATTAATGATAAACTGATGCATGTAACGAGGGGGCCAGCAACGCCACGACAGGGATAGAGAGAGAGAGAGAGGGAAAAAAAAAGGAGCACGCTACTACAACGATATTGCGGCGCGCGTTGCGATGAAGAGTGGCAAAGGAACGGAGCGACCTGATCTCGCCGAGACCAAGGGATATCGAAAATGGAACAGGGAGAGAACGACAGGAACACCAATGCAAAAGTCTGCGCAGACGAGACGCGACGGAGGAGCGAAACGCATTGGCGAAATGAGAAGCCCATCAGCCCTTCAGGGCTTGAATGGTCTAAGGAGCTCGTCCTGCTAAACCCCCCTCTTCCACTTCGGGGAGGCCCCCCCCCCTCCCCCAATACCTCCCCCCCCCGGTCTGCACGAGGCGCCCCGCGAGCGGCCATGCCGTCCAAGATGGCCCAAGATGGCTCCAAGAGGGCTCCAGAGAGCTCCACATGTCCTCCAAGATCGCGCAAGACAGCCCAAGATGGTTCAAGATAGCTTTCAGGTACCTCCAAGAGCTCTCAAGACCGCCCCACGACGGCTCCAAGTGCTGCGCGGGCCCCCCAGGAAGCCCCCAAGAGGCAAACATCGTCCGAAACCAACGTGTTATTTCTATGTATGTTCCTTTTATCGCCGTTTCGCGTCCGATGGGCCCCTCAGGCATCAAGATGGTTCCAAGATGGCCCAAGCGGGCCCCAAGGGGGCCCAGAAGGGCACCAAGACGGCCCCAAGAGCGCCCAAGACCGCCCCAAGAGCGGCCCACGAGGGCTCCAGGAGGCTCCAATTCGGGTCCCGAGGGTAACAGGGCCCCCTCTTTCTTTGATCGATGGGCCCAAGCGGGCCTCCAAGGCCTCCAGGATGGCCCCAGAGAGGCCCAAGAGCGCCCCAAGAGGGCCCGAAGAAAGCCCTTGGAGGGCCAAATGGGCCCCCAAGAAGGCCCCAAGAGCGCCCCCCAAACCCACGAGGGCCCCAAGCGAGCATTGAGAGGGCCCCTCAAGCCTCCAACATGGCCCCAAAGAGGGCTCCATGAGGCCCCCAAGACGCTCTCACAGCGAAAGATCTGCAAAGACCTCGTCGCCGTCGTGTTATTATTCCTCGTCGTCGTGTCTGTCCTCCCCAATAGTTTTCGTCTCTATCCTGTTCCTCACCCTCCTCCCGCCCCATCGTCACCCGCTTCCTCATCCTGCTCATCCTGCTGTTGCTCCTCCTTCTTCTCCTATACCTCTTCTTCCTTCCCGATGTGTCCACGTGCCCGACACGGGGTGCAGCGAACGAGCGTGCAATGTGGACACGTGGGTGGCAAGACGGATGCGAGTCACGTCTGACCTGCGTGCTGCTGCACATCCCTCATGAAGGGAACTCGCCTGGCGATTGGTTTGGGATGCGCTGGTGGGGGCACGCGAAGCGTGAACAATTGTAGGGGGAGGGCGCGACGAAAGGTAATTGAGCGAAATTGCAAAAGACGGAAACAAGAGAAGCGGGCGGGAAAACGGGCAGAAGGCAGGGGAGCAAGAGAGAGAGAGAGAGAGATAACGATAATGATCTGGAGAAAGAATGCAAGAGAGAGCGAGGGAGAAGGTAGAGAAAGAAAGATAATGATAAAGAGAGATAGAGATACAGAAAGAGAGAGATATACCAGCACAGATAGCGCAGGCGCGCTGGATGGCCGCGCGCCCGCGCGGTGAGAGGGACCGCGAGAGGCACAACACGGTAGACCAGAGAAGACGATAAAAGAGGGTGGGGGCCTGTTCCCTCCCGCGCCCCCCCTCGCCCCATCTGCGGTCACCCCCGCTCTCCCCCTAGTGTTTCATTCCTTTTGCGCCCCCGCGCCCCCCATCTCCGCTCCCCGACTCACGCGACGAAAAATCCGATCACAAAGCCAGGCCCCGACGCCGAGCGGCAACCTGGGGCACCAGAGGCGACCCTGCCGCCCGCCCGCCCCCTGGCCCGAAACCCCCGCAAGACTCGAGATCAACGGGATCACGTGGTCAGACAAGCTGCCCAGCACCCCTAGCAGGAATAATTTTAAAAGGCCATATGTGGGGGTACCGGTTCTATGCTACCCACCGAGAGTAAGGCAAAAACCCAGAAAATATTGGAAAGCATGGGGAATCCTGTTATTTGTGTGTCTTTATTTGTGTGTCCCAGGGCCCCTTCAATGGTTTTTGTTGGTTTCTTTGTTTTGTTTGTTTGTGCTAGTGTTTCCCATGGTTTTCGCTGTTTTTTTCGAAATGCCGGTCATTTCTCGCAGGTTTCCGAAGGCTTTCGAGGAGGAGGGAGAGCGGGAGGAGGAGAGCGACGACGAGCAAACGATCGGTGAAGATTTCGTGATTTTGGTGGTTTGGGGGTGCTGGGGGGGGGGGGCGACCATTTATTTGTGTGTCCCAGGGCCCCTTCAATGATTCAGGAGGGGAAGAAACTCACAGACACAATCAATCGTCGATTCCCCAGAACACTTGGGAAAATATGGGAAGTGGGGGGGAGGAAGACAGAAACCCAGAAAGTATTGGAAAATATTGGAAATCCTGTGATTTGTGTGTATTTGTTTGTGTGTCCCAGGGCCCCTTCAACGATGAAGCTTCAAGACAGACCCGAGACAGCCCAACAGGGCCCCTCCCCGGTGTGTGTCCCCAGGCGCTGCCCCCAGCGGCTGCGGGAGTACGCAGTCCACCAGTCACCGCATACCGTCGGGGCGTTGGCCTAAGGAACGATGCAGAAGGAGCGTTACCCCTTTGTCCTTACAGGGCAGGTTTTAATATATGGGATGTTTGAGAATATAGGATTTGTAAACCTGATCAATATATGAACACATTTATGCATGAACTCATCGTCGTTTTTGGTGTTACACCCCTGCATGTTTAAGACATGATCCGCACGCGGAGCATGTATTAAAAACGACACTGTAAGTTGAACTTCGATATCCGATCGGACACCGATGGACAACCTAAGGCAAACAGCAAAACAACCGGGGAGCACGGAGCCACTCCCAGACGAAAACGGCTCCTTCTTCAGCACCCCGACTGTAGGCGTTTCCGAAGGCAGGGGGCGGCGGTGACTCGCCGTAGACGTCTTCGATAGAACTGATCGGACGTGCACCCGAAGAACTGTCATGCTGTGGCGACGTGGAGCGCCAGAACTGCTTCAAGTCGTAGGAGCGGACCGAGTCGTGCTGGATCAAGTCCATGGCGCTGGTCGCCCCCGACGGAGTCGTCTTGGGCGCCATCGACGTGTTGCTGCCAGCGAAGATGGATCGCGCGGAGGTCCACATGGATCGCAAGGATGGACGCGTATCGACGTTACCGGGCGAGTTGGACCTCTGTGACCTCGTGGGGGCGACCGTGGGCGACTGCAACTGCCGGCTGTCCCCGGGGCTGCCCGCGCCAGCCGTGGAGCCCGGCGCCGTTGACGAGGTCAGCTGCGTCGGGCGTCGACGGTCACACGCCGCTGGGCCCGGGGCGCGGATCTCCCCGCTGGCGGAGGCGGTGGTCGCCGCAGTGCCGTCCACTGGTGGCCCAACCTTCGGTGGCTCACGGGAGCCTCCCCATACCATCCTGTCCGCTCTCGCGAATCGACGTTCATCGACGCTAGATCCACGCCAGTCGACGCCAAATCGACGCTAATCGACGCTAGTCGACGCTGGCCGACGCTAAATCGGCGCCAACTCTCATCGACTCCAGACGCCGATCGAAGCTAGTCGACGCTCAAGGCGGAATCAAAGAGGGCACGCCAGGCTCCCATGCTTTGCCGCCGAGCCAGCCGGCCGCGCCTCGCCGGGCGTGGCTGCAGCGCCGTTGCTCGCAGAGGACACGCTGGGCTCCTCGGAGATGTGCTCCGCGGCGAGGGCGCGCAGCTTCCTTGATGGGCCTGTCTTCCACCACCACCACCATCGAAAGCTGGATGGGGGGAAGGAGGAGGAGGACGAGGAGGAGGAGGAGGAGGAGGAGGACGACGAAAAGGAGGGAGATTGTTTTTTTATTCTGGCCGATAACGCTCGTTACCCGGGGGGGGGGGGGGTCGTGCCCCTCGGGTAACGGTAACGCTTGGGCTGGGCGGGGTATGGCGAGGCAGGGGCGCTCTGCGATCGCCATAGTATGCGCGCGAGCAGCACTCTCTGCCTGAGAGCACCACAGTGGCTTGCGATTCGAGTACAAGCGCAAAGCCCGCCGCGTGGTCCCGGCACCACGCCCGCGCCCGCGCGCGCGACGACGATGATCGACGAGCGACGAGCGACGAGGTCGACGACGACGACGACGACGTTTGCCGCCTGTTTCGGCCTCCGGAGGCCGTTTTCGAGCGCCGTCGACGACGACGACGACGACGACGACGACGACGACGACGACGACGACGACGACGACGACGACGACGACGTTTTTCGCCTTTTCGGACTCCGGAGGCCGTTTTTCGGGCGCCGTCGACGACGACGACGACGACGACGACGATGAAAACGACGACGTACGAGCGGTACCGTTACGGGGGGGGGGGGGGGGGGGGGAGAGGCCCGGGTAACGAGCGTTACCCCCCAGAGGATAAAAAAACAATCTCAGGGAGGAGGAGAGGAGGAGGAGGAGGAGGAGGAGGAGGAGGAGGACCCCCTCCCCCTCCAGCTTCCGGTGGTGGTGGTGGGGAGCAGGCCCCTCATTCCTGCGGATCTCCGCAGCGGCCGCGGGCGCGCGGGGCGCGGCGGCGGCGTCCGACCGCGGCCCCGCCGGGCCCGAGGAGCCGGGGCTGCAGCCGCAGGCGGGGGGCCCGCTCGGGGAGCAGCCCGCGGGCGTGCGCACCCGCGGCGCCTCCCGGGGCCCCCCTGCCGCCGGCAGCGGCGGCACCGCGGCGCGCTCCGTCGCGGGGGGGGGGCGCCCGTCGCCTGCAGCAGGAGGCACGCAGACCCCAGACGCCCTCCTCCTCCTCCTCCCTCCTCCTCCTCATCCTCCTCCTCATCCTCCTCCTTCTCCTCGGGCCATGACGAAAGCACGACGGGAGGCTTCGCCGCTCTTGTCGGCGCTGGGGGGTCCTCACCAGGCCTCGGGACCGTCACAAGGCGACGCGGGGTGAAAAGCCAGTCCCGGGGGATAGGTCTAGACCACCCTGACCATCCAGAGTGCTAAAAGATAGCCCTCCAGACCTGTAGACATATCTGGACTGCTTAAAACCTCGGCAAGAATTTAGATGACGGCCAATAACTTTCCAGTCCTTCTGGAAGGTCAGGGCACTGGGGGTCACGTCACGAGAAAATCATGGCGTCGGGGAGGAGAAAGAGGAGGACGAGGAAAAAGAGGAGGAGGATGAGGAGGAGGAACAGGTTTGGCCTGACCACAAGGGTTTTTGTTCGGTCGGACCTCGTCGTGCACGTGCCCACGTGCCGCGACATCTCTCGCGCCCCGCGCCATAGCTGCTTCCTCCTGGGCCACAGCGCGGCCTGCGGAGGCGGCTTGGCATCGCCGCGCGAGGGCGGAGCGCTCTCGGGCCAGGACACTCGTCAGAGTCCATCAGGCCTATCAGCGACTTCAGTCTCATCACTCGGCACAACGAGCGCCGAGATATCAAGACGATTTACAGCTGCCAGAGGTGTTCATGACACAATGGTTGCCAGTATGGGACTGCTCAAGGTGCGGAAGATACGTCAAACACCATCGATAGTACTACTCGGAGCAGTCTTCTCATCAGCAGCAGCGAGGGGGTCCCCCACATCGGCAGCGACCACAGTCATGATATCAAAGAAGGCCTGCGAGTCGCAATCGATATCGATTACAGCCACCTCAGTTCCAGGAGCGGGAAATCAGACTTTACATCGCCAAGATACCTCCAATGACCAAGTAAGAGGCGGCCGCAGAACCATTCTTCAAGCCTACGCCAGAAGGAGACACACACACACAAGTATCGAATGGAGGCTCGCCAACAGATCAACGATATGGCAATTTTGGCGTTGACGGCGCGCAGAACCGACGAGATACAGTTGGCAGCCATGCGTGATCGCAAGATAGCCACACTAACGTGCATGATTCATGGTCTTCTTCCCTTGAAGCAACACGATGCAGAGTACAAGGACAATATGGACAGAGCGCAGGAGCGTTTGTTGGCCACACAGACTCGGATCAAGGAGCCCGAAGCGCAAGAGTCCGACAACATGAACGATACTGTTCAACTCAGAACCTGCATGGAGGATCGGGGAGACGTAAGACCCGGGTACGGGGGACTCGGAAATCCCCGACGAGGTCGTCAAAAAAATGACGAGGCCGAGCCTGCATTTTGACGAGGCCTCCCGCTGCAAACATCCCACGAAACTCCTCCTCGTCAAAATCCGAGTCGCGGTCGTCAAAAAACGATGGCGAACCCGAGTCCCGGCAAACCCGGGTCTTACGCTCCCCCGAGAGGAGTTGACACAGATGATGTCGGAGGAAGATCAGGGCATGGGAGTCTCGGCTCAGGCTCAGCAGCCTACCACAGCCCGAGGCCATGCGCAGCCACGTCCTGCGCCGCCGCCGCAGCCACCGCAGCTGCACCGCATGCCAGTGACACCGCCCCAGCTGCGGCAACCAGGGGCGCTGCCAGAATACTCCCCTGGGCACGCGGTAGAGCAAGGTTCCCGCGATCAGCAGCAGGGCCAGCGCCTCGCTGCTACCCAGGATGGACTACAATCGACACCTCAGCCCATGTCGGTGGAGACCAGCACGCAGGCGCAGATGCAAGAGCTACGAGGGCTGCTTATTGGGATGGCAAGCGTGCAGAACGAGAGCGAGAGGGTCCTGGGGCAGATGGTGCACGCCTTCACTGCCACGGCGGCAGCTCAACAACAAGTATCGGCGCCGATTACCTCACCCACGGCTGTGGAGGACGCCTACCAGATTCCCGTGGACGCCCCAGTCTCGCCGACAAGCGTGGCACCATCGCAAGCAGTTGTGCCAAAGGGGGAGGGGGGCGCCCCCCTGATGGCATCGCCATCCAGCGTTCCCAACGCTCAGCCGTCACCGTCAACACCCATCGGCCGCGGTACCAAGGGAGGCCGCTCTTCGCCCCAGACCATCAAGGGCTCCAGTTGCGAGGGCTCGACTCCTATTCCAGCCAGTCAGAGGATGAGCAGTGCCGCGTTTCAACGTGGACTTCTGGAGCCAACATGGCCGACAGTCCCAACCCCCTCAAGTACTAGGGCCGATTTCTCCGACACAACCCATGGTGACACAGATGGAGATGATGCCAGGACCGAGCAGTGTTACTGGAGATCGGTGCGCAACAGGCACCACTCCAGAGCAAGCAGCTGTACCCGAGGGATCACCTATCAAGTCGCCGCCGCCGGTGCACCAGCGCGTTCAGTCTCCTGGGAGGGACAATATGCAAGGGATTTCTTCCATGATGACGAGCCGCCAGTACCAGTCCATTCGACATGCATGCTCACAGACCGCTCCAACTTGAAGTGGACTTTGAAACGCAATATGCAGTTCACGATACCTTTCGACTCAGCTACGACGGGAAGTAGCTCGGGATATTTGAGTCCAGACACTCAAGGGGATCATGCTCAATCTTTTGCATTGAATTCGGGTGCCTCAGTTGACTCTTGTGAACAAGATGTTTTCAGCACCTCTTCAGACTTGACAGACAGCTGCAAGCCTTTCTCACAGAATGCGGGCAGCTATGCGCAAGGGATTTTGAGTGATGCAGCCATCGCGCCCCCCCTTTGCAGGCCTGACTTTCAGCAGGACACCGCGGTAGGATTTCATCCAACAGCTTCGCTGTTACAAATTTTCTCCACTTCTGGCTATGCCTCGGGGCTTGAGGCAAGCACCGACCAGCCAAGTTTCGCTGGATCGGCGGTTTTTTTTTCGGAGGCTGTCTGCCTGCCGCCGTCTCTTCGCCACCAGTTGCTGACAGCAGAAACAGAGCTGCGTCGACGTCGCATCATCACCTTAATTCGGCTGTTGTGCACACTCTGAGCGTAAACAGTCTTGGGTCGCCCATGCTGAGGGAGTTTCAAGCGAAGACAGCCCCGACTAGTGAACGCACTGTTGCTTCTTGCCCTCCCTCTCCCTCCCTCGGACCTAAGGCCAAATCAGCGCAGCCTGCTAAGGATGTGGCCCATGCTGAGTCTTCTGGTGTCCGTTACTGCCTCCCCCTCCCCCCTGGACCAACCCTTTGGGAGCTTGCGCCTCGGGCTAGGGCTCCACCCTGGCCCCTCCGGGCCAGGCCAGATGAGCTTGAAGACCCTGCGCGCATCGCGCTTTATACCTGCCCCCCTCGTCTTCGGCGGATGTCCAGGCTTGGTCCTACTTTGTTGACGGTTCGAATTACCAGGGCCCGAGTAGTGAAGATAATCGTGCTGCGGCCTGGGCTGCTATAAAAATCAAGACTCTTACCAAAGGCGATTTTGCTTTTGCTGGATTCTGGATCCCGAAATGGAACACGTCGTGTTTCGTTGACCCATCTCGTGGAAGGCTAACTAGCAATGGCGTTGAGCTACTTGGCAGTGCATGGACATGTATTGCTATGTTGTGCGACAAGCAGAGGCACCACGAGCAACATGTTGACATCTTCTCGGACTCTCAGTCTGCCATAGATCTTGTCACGGGCGAGGCGGCCATAGCTGAGCATGGTCAGCTCGCCAAACTGGCGGCTACCATCTTCAGAGTTGCAGGTGCAAAAGGCCCACTTCTGCTGCGCCACATTAAGGCGCACAGTCTTCACCCATGGAACATACTTGTCGACAACACAGCAAAGGATGTCGCGAGGGACCTTGTTCCTCCCACTTCATTCGAATATACGTTGACTGAGCTGGTTGTATTTCACCCAGGAAGAGATTGGGAGTGGTCCAGGGCCCCCCTTCATTTCCTCCAGTCTAGGTCTTCCCTGTCTTGGCAATGGTTCTCTGGAGGTTGAGGTCAAACCCCAGTGCGCTGCCCTCTCTGACTGCCCCCCAGAGGCCGCCGTGAAAGAGGCCCCCCACAATGTGCGCATGTGCGTTGATCAGTTCAACGCTAAATCCATGTATGACAGGCAATTGAAGGGCACCCGTGGTCGTCGCATGCACATGCGCACCCATATTTTGAAGGGTCAGTTCCAGCAGCTCGGACTTCACCTGGCAAGCGTGCAAGAATCCAGGAATCCGAAGGGCACTCGGCTGTCGGGGCCTTTCCTCATAATTTCCTCAGGAGCGCTTCGGTGAGGGGGGGGGGGGGGGGGGGGGGGGGGGTCTCGGTTGCGAATTGTGGGTCGATCTTGAGGTGCCGCTTGCGACCCGCAAAAACAAGGAGGCCATATTTGAGAGAAAGGGCGTTGTTGCCCTACACTGTGATCCGCGTCGTGTGGTCGTTGCTCTAAACTCCCCAGCCTTCCGTTCGGGGGGGTGGCGGTGATTCATGCGCCTCGCGCTGCCCACAAGACTGGAAGCCCGCGGGCTTTCTGGGAAGATACCGCCAAGCTTTGCGCGAGCTGGCACGTTGAGATGGCCTTTTGCGGCGCAAGTGCGAGATTAGGGTCTGAAGAGTCTGAGTGGGTTGGAGGACTTGGGTTTCAGCAGGAGCAGGACCAACTGGGAGGACTGTGTCACACTTTCCTCGCAGAGGCTCACTTGTGCGCTGTCAACGCCCAGGTTGACAACGCCGCGGGGGTTCACCTTTGTCGCCACTCGGGGCTCCAGCTCTAGCTCACACCCTCCGCAGTTAAACCGTGGGGTCAGTGCCGCCCAGAGCGCACCTGAGCTGCCTAGACTGGGCTCGGGACACAGGATCGAGCATGCACTTTGCAACCCTGCGGTTTTGCCTACTGCCGCGAGTGTTCGCACCATGCGCGACATCGACCTGTGCACCCAGCATCCTGACCACGTACCTGTAGAGGTAGCCTTCGCATGGATGAGATCCGCTACCAAGGTCAGAAGCACAGTCCCGCCCATCGACAAAGAGAACACTAAATATAGGACTTGCGTTGAGATTTTCAGGATGAAGTTGGAGGAGCTTGAGGTTGAGGAATGGGTTTTAGGTGTGCACGAACAGTTGGCACGCACCGTCAACAGGGTGCACGGCGCGGCGGCCAAAGCATTCCCCAAGGCTAAGCGCAGGGCCAGAGCTTCTTACATTTCTGAGAGCACTTTGGCTCGCATCAGCACCAGAAGGGCTACGCACAAAGCTTTACCAAAACAAGCTCTGGGGCCTGACGGATTTCAGGAAAGGGTGCTCAAGCACATTGCTGGCAGGCTTCACTCTGGCGATTGGCCCCTGTTGGCCCTCGGGGGCCTTGATCAGGGGCAGGCTGTCAGGCTGCAGCTGGCCAGACAAGTTGAAGCCGACCTTGGGAAGCGCTCGCGCCCAGATGTTTTCCTCCTTGCTCTCAACCCTGTTGCGATCACCTCTAGGCCCGTCTTAATCGAAGCCTTGCATCAAGATAAGGCTAAGTTCCTCGAAGCACCTATATGCGACGTGTCCTTGGGAATCGACGGCCATCTACCAGCTCAGGAGCGGGCCGCTCTTGATCGTGCTCTCCGCTTTGGAGGCAAGCCAGCCAAGAGACCCTTGGTTTTTCCAGCTATGGATGATGAGGAGGGAGCGCCTGCCACGACCCATGAACATATTGCTCGCATAGCGCAGCGTCATTTCGCGAAGGTTGAGTTGGCTTCCCTCCATTGATCAGGACACCTTGGTTCGAGAATACAACAACATGAATGCTAAGGCCCAGTCCAACCCCCAGCCCACCCTGGCCGCCGTTCCGTCCCTCCTGTCGGTCCAGACGGAGATGCGACGGACACCAGCTCACAAGGCCGCTGGATTGGATGGGGCCATAGGAGATTTTGCCAAGGTTGCCCCCCTTGCCTCACCACGCCATTTGCACCCCCTAGTGGCCAAGATCTCCCTTCAGCAAAGGGAACCTCTAGGCTTCAAAGCAAGTGAGATTGTGTTTTTTTTCCACGGGGGCAAGTGGGCCCCCAGTAAGACGGTTAACCAGCGAAACGTGCTTCTAGGAAGCACGACCGCTAAGCTCCAGCATAAGTCGCTCAGGGCCTTATACATGGAGTTCGCGCACGCCTCTCTCCGCCTGCATCAATGCGGGGGGGGGGGGGGGGGGGCCCTGGGAGGGGCCTCGAAGGCGCCATCTCGATGGCCCGTCAAGTTTGGTCCGTCACCGCGTCTCTGTGGGAGGCATGTTCGTGGACCTGACGGCCGCGTTTTACACTGCGTTGAAACAGCTCTGCGTTTCTTTGCCCACTGAAGAAGAAAGGCTGGCGGACGCTTCGAATGACCTCGAGATGTCTCCGTTCATTGAGGCTGGGCTGAGAGCCCAACTTGAGCTTCGCCCCCCCTTGAAGGTTGCGATATGCCCGATGACCCGCTTGAGTTGGTGAGGGAAAGCCAGCCTGGGAGTTTTTGGAAACCCAGGGGTGAAAATTTGATCTCGCGACCTTGTCGCGGCTGTCGCCCCGGCGCGGCCCCCGCGACCGACATGTTGAACGTGCTTTTCGCGAGGGTCCAAAGAAAAAATCGAGTTGCAGGCTGCAGCAGAAGGTTTACGTTGGACACCCCCTGAGTCCGTAGCACATTTCAGCTCAAATGGAAATCGTAATTTTATTGCACTCGTCCACTTCCTTTGTGGACGATCTCTCGCTTGTCTCAGCTGGTACTTGTATTGATATCACCGAATGCATTCTCCGACTGGCTGGGGCCGTTCACATTCACACGAAGTCGCACAGGTTTCAAATCAATTTCTCTAGGACAGCTGCACTAGTGGAATTTCGTTGTGCTGGGCCACGCAAAGAATCGAGAATTTATCACAGCCCAGGAGAACACTCCTTGCGAAGTGATCAGTTTGGTTTTGACGTGCCCATCGTCCGGTCGCATATACTATTGGGTTCTCATCTGATGGATACTGGAAGCATGGCCAAGGAGATCAACTACAGCATTCGTTCGTCGAGGTCTGCACTCACGCCAATAAAGAGAGTAGTGAGCCCCTCACCACACCTTCAGTTAAATTATCAGATTCGCTATGCAGAGGCCTACTCTGGGGCCAAGCTACTACTCTTTGCAGCCAGCACATGGGATCCACTTCCTAATCGCTTATTTGAGATGGTCGAAACGGCTTGCATCGGCATCTACAGGACTGGCCTCAACCTTTCGATGACAAGCTCAGCTGAAGTTCGAGCGTCGCAGGCATCTGTACTTGCGACAGCGGACCGACTATTCCTAACCGCCATACTTCAAGTGGGACGCCACAGATTGGCACCGGGATTGATACACGGCGCACCACCACTTTTGAGGTTGCTCCTCGATTATTCATGGAACGCAGGTTGGTGCAGACAGCTCAGGGAAGACTTTGCGTGGATCCGATCCATGATCAAGGTAACCTTCAATAACTACGCATTTGACGACAACTCCTTGCTTCGCCTCGCTAGAAACGACCGCAGAGAGTACTTATATATTGTTGCAAATGCTGCCAGGATTGCCGAGGTTCAGTGGAGGATAGATATCAACGTAATATGTGGAGAAATGGACATCTCTAAAGTCAGAAAGGCAGTACAATGGCTGACTTGTGCAGGCCGACAGTCTGTTGAGACAGGTAGTGGACTACCTAAAGTGAGCCCGAACCCAGAGTTCATTGCTACGAATGCGGGAATCTCGCTTCAACCGAGCGCCTGCTTAACACTCACAGAAAGAAGCTTCACCCTTCGAGAGATGATCCTGAATCTTTTGTAACAGGATCACAGTGCCCAATCTGTTGCTGGCAGTTCTGGGATGAGAACAGACTTTTGAAGCATATTCACCGCTCTCACTCATGTTATAGTTCGTGGCTCAACTCGCCACTTCGCCCTTCCGATGAGGAGCTGTTCCTCAGCCGTGAGGCCCGTAAGGTCATAGCTCGCAACAATAGGAAGAACGGCCACGGAGACACGGTCGCAATTTATCCCTCAGTTAAAGCTTCCCCCCCCCTCCATTTAGGATGAGAGCGTCGGTTCACAAGACCCGTATTCACCCCCCGCAGACTCCGAGTGAGATCCCGAGTAACGTTGCGCACGTTCCCCTAGTGGATGTCCCTCCTGCCGACAATGAACGTTTCTTGTGGGCAGGCTTTGACATTTATCGTTCCGAGGTTGCGTTGAGAGCTTTTGAATCAGGCCTTGACTTGACCCCGCCTGCTTCTTTGGCTGGCAAATGTGATGCTGTGTCGTTGTCTTTGTTCTCTGGGGATGAGTTCCTTGCTCGTGTCTAGGGGGTTGGTGTTGGGATGTTTCATTGAGCCGCTTGCCTTTTCTTGGAGACCTAGGGGGGAAGAGAAAGTTTGCCGTTCGTCTGCGCGCCCCTGGGGCATCCGCCACATCAATGGCGCCACTCTGGACTTGATCGTGGAACAAAACAACCTGATGATTAAAGGGCTGCAGCTTGCTCTGTTGTGCATTGCCATTGGTATTCATTTTATTCTCGTGTTGCCTCATGTCCACTGCCCGTCCCTCCCTTCTCCTGCCCGCTTACCGCTCGCTCAAGAGATGTTGCGCCCTCCCAAAATGAGCCACAGGTTTATCGATTTGTGTACGTTCTGGTCGCCTCACAAACTGCCAACTGTGATTATAGCATTGGGTTCCATGAATATTGACCTTTTTTTCACACCAGGAATATGTGGAGGACGGTGCTCCCATGGGACTCGCCACTCTCTCCCTTCCATCGAGCATTCGGGTTTGTTAACTCCTGCTGCTCTGGGCGTGGCGGCATCCGTGCTCCAGTGTGCGGTCAGGTCTCGTAGCAGGTAAGCTGTGGGCCTGGTCCTTCCTCCCTAATCCTGCACGTGCACGTTTTGGGGATACTGTCTTCGCCTTCCCTCCTTCTACAGTACGCATGGGCTTCGAACCCCTTTGTGCCCTCAGCGAGCGAGGAGGAGGAGGAGGAGGAGGAGGAGGGAGGAGGGAGGAGGGAGGAGGGAAGAGGGAGGAGGTGGGCATGGGCAGAACCACTCCCGGGGGCCCGCGCGGACTTCCCTCGGGCTGGCCCCGCCGGGCCCCGCTGCTCTGGCCTGTGCATGACTTCTGCGCCGGCGCGTCGCAACTTCTAGGCGGGGTGGTGCCTCCTCCGGTGCTGCTCGGGGCTGGACCTAAACGTTGTTTTCCGTCTTGTTTTCGTTTGGTGTTTCGTTTTGTTCTGCCTCGTTTCCTGCACCTTCCTCCCAGCACGAAAGACAACACACAGCGAAGGTCCAGCAACACAGCGTTTGGGTCCAGCCCTGGTGCTGCGGACACATATGGTGTCTGGCATTTCGCGGCAAGGCAGAAAAATACTTGGACACGCATCCGGACTCTCTGAGTTGGGGGTGTGACCTCGGTGGTGAGCGACCCCAATCCCCTTGGGCAACAGTGGCTGCGGTCGGGAACTTCTGCTTAGCGTGTCGCGGCGGTGGCCCCGGCGACACGCTATGCTTTGCGAGCGGATCGCGCGTCGCTCCGCTCCGCTGGGCGGGAGGCTGGGGAAGG